TTTCAACACACACACCTCTTTGTTCAAATGCAAACCAAGCAACTTTTCAACCTGTAAAGCATTTCTCAGTTGACCATAAAAGTTGCTACCCTATAAAATTCTCATATATGCATTCAAATACATACTCACAGTTTGGCATTACCAGAAGTCCAAAGAGGATGAGTAAATACAGCCAAGTCAATGCTGGGCCAAGATTCAGTTGATTCAAAGTGTGTTTTCTCAGAGAACAAATCTTAAAAGCAGCAACTCCAGATTGGAAAAAAAAATTGATTGATGATCCTGTTTCATCTTCCGAATAAATAGCAAAGCCAGTCTTTCTTCTCCTGTTTATGTAATGTTTTCAGGCTCAGGCTAAATGTTGTATGAAAGTTGTGGTGTAATGTAAAATAGACCATATGTAGTTTACGTTTGATCAGCCCACACACTGCCTTGCCAGAGAAAGAAAATATGCCAATAAGGTGAATGATAAAGAACAGTTACAGTAGAGTCTTGCTTACCCAACATAAGCGAGCTAGCAGAACACTGGATAGGCAAAAATGTTGGATAATAAGGAGGGATTAAGGAAAAGCCTATTAAATGTCAAATTACATTATGATTTTACAAATTAAGCACCAAAACATCATGTTTTACAACAAATCAATAGAAAAAGCAGTTCAATACACAGGAACGTTATGTATTTATGAATTTAGCACCAAAATAGATAAGGGTTCTTGTCTATTTGCCAGAGATAGACTGCGTTGGATAATACAGAACATTGGCTGACTGAAGGTTGGATAAGCGAGACTCTATGGTAGTTTACTCTTCGTAAATCCAGAACAACATATGTACAATATGATCTGTTGCACCAACTCACATAATGTCCTTTAATGAGAAATTTAAAATGATCTTTCTTTTGTCCATGTGGAGAAATCTTCCTTCCAGGAGTTTATGACGCAAGACTATACTCTAAGCCAGGGGTCCTCAAACTAAGGCCCGGGGGCCGGATGCGGCCCTCCAAGGTCATTTACCCGGCCCTCGCTCAGGGTCAGCCTAAGTCTGAAACGACTTGAAAGCACACAATAACAACAACAACACTATCTCATCACCAAAAGCAGGTCCACACTTCCCATTGAAATACTAATAAGTTTGTATTTGTTAAAATTGTTCTTCATTTTAATTATTGTCTTGTTTTTAAGTGTCTTTTGCACTACAAATAAGATATGTGCAGTGTGCATAGGAATTCATTTATGTTTTTTTTCAAATTATAATCCGGCCCTCCAACAGTTTGAGGGACTGTGACCTAGCCCTCTGCTTAAAAAGTTTGAGGACCCCTCCTCTAAACTCTGTCTCTCTCCGCTTCTCTCTTCAAACTCTCTCTGCACCTGAATAACTCAAGCCTGAACAACAATGTAACAGTATCCAAAAGTCCCAGGCTCAGCCTGCTCCCAGGGCATTGCCTGACCAATCAGCTTCATGCATCTTATTCTGTGTGCTCCCTTCTGGGCACAACAGAAGACTGGGTGACCTGGAAGGCACTGAACAGACTGTGCTCTGGCACCATGAGATGCAGAGCCAACCTTAGGGCCATGAAGTTGAGCCCATGATATGTGAGTGTGGAGAAGACCACCTATTACAATGCAGTCTGAGCCCTGCCACATGCACAATGGAGGACCTCCTTACAGCAACATCAGAGGCATTCCAAGTGGCCAGTTACTGGTCAAAGGACATTTAATTTAATGCCAAGTTTTTAAACTTTGTGTTTTCAAAATACAATGCAATTGTACCCTTGGTTTGCTTTGGATATGATAAATAAATAAATATTATTTTACAATTGACAAAGACACACACACATTAACTGATTCCTTGCATGCTGCAACAAAAGTCAGTTCTGGTTAGCAACCGGCTGTACGCCAAGACTCTTACAAAACCCAAATTTGTTTCATTAGTTTTATTTCCAAGTTGATGATGGAGGAAAGGGAAGAGAGTCAGTTCAATAGGTTTCGTCTAACAAGAAATCTCAACCGGTTACTGCTTAACGTGTAGAACGTTATAAAGGTTAGGTACAGTCCAGAGGAGTAGAAAAGACAAACAAATAAATACATATAAAATAACAAGATGCCACACACCTCTCTCAAGAGGGAAACTTAGAAAAAAGAAGAGTAAAGCAGTGCAGGGGGAAAATGGAGACCCTTCGAAGGTAAAAGATCAATGCATGACAAATCTATTCTGAAAGGACCAAGTACGAAGTGCCAAGAACGGGAGGGAAACAGCACCGATTTCACAAGAAAAAGAAGACAAAAAGTCCAGTGCCAAATAAAAGAAATTCTGCTGTTATTTATAACTACCTGGCACATTTTGGAGTGAAAGAGGACTTCATCGTGATCTTAAATTCAACTTAAGATGGAGAACAACATTCGAGGCAGACAGCAACTTTTATCAACGAAAAACTACATGTTTGGTGCAGGATTATGTTTCGGTTTATGAAGACAGTCCTTGAGAAGGGGTCAGCTACTTACAAACAATGGTTAAATCTGGGTTGTTGTAGGTTTTTTCGGGCTATATGGCCATGTTCTAGAGGCATTCTCTCCTGACGTTTTGCCTGCATCTATGGCAAGCATCCTCAGAGGTAGCGAGGTCTGTTGGTACTAGGAAAGTGGGTTTATATATCTGTGGAATGACCAAAGGACTCTTGTCTGCTGGAGCTAGGTGTGTTTCAACTGACCACCTTGATTAGCATTTGATGGCCTGGCAGTGCCTGGGGCAATCTTTTGTTGAGAGGTGATTAGATGTCCCAGATTGTTTCCTCTCTGTTGTTTTGCTGTTGTAATTTTTGAGTTTTTAAATACTGGTAGCCAGATTTTGTTCATTTTCATGGTTTTCTCCTTTCTGTTGAAATTGTCCATATGCTTGTGGATTTCAATGGCTTCTCTGTGTAGTCTGACATGGTGATTGTTAGAGTGGTCCAGCATTTCTGTGTTCTCAAATAAAATGCTGTGTCCAGGTTGGTTCATCAGGTGCTCTGCTATGGCTGATTTCTCTGGTTTAAGTCGTCTGCAGTGCCTCCCATGTTCCTTGATTCATGTTTGGGCAATGCTGCGTTTGGTGGTCCCTCTGTAGACTTGCCCACAGCTGCATGGTATACGGTGGACTCCTGCAGAGGTGAGAGGATCCCTCTTGTCCTTTGCTGAATGTATCATTTGTTGGATTTTCTTGGTGGGTCTGTAGATAGTTTGTATGTTGTGTTTCCTCATCAGCTTCCCTATGCGGTCAGTGGTTCCCTTGATGTATGGCAAGAACATTTTTCCTTTGGGTGGATCTTTGTCTTGACCCTCGTGGCTTGTTCTCGGTCTTGCAGGTCTTTTGATTTGATGGCCTGGCACTGCCAGGCCATCAAATGCTAATCGAGGTGGTGAGTCGAAACATTCACACCTAGCTCCAGCAGACAAGAGTCCTTTGTCCCACCCTGATCATTCCACAGATATATAAACCCATTTTCCTAGTTCCAACAGACCTCACTACCTCTGAGAATACTTGCCATAGATGCAGGTGAAACGTCAGGAGAGAATGCCCCTAGAACATGACCATATAGCCCGAAAAAACATACAACAACCCAGTGACTCTGGCCATGAAAGCCTTCGACAATACAATGGCTAAATCTAATTTGTTCAGCACCAGGTCCTTTTCCCTTTCTCTTTTCTTTCAGGACTAAGGCCCCTTCCACAGAGCCTTATATCCCAGAATATCAAGGCAGAAAATCCCACATTATCTGATTGTGGACTCTGATAACCCAGTTCAAAGCAGATATTGTGGGATTTTCTGCCTTGATATTCTGGGACATAGGGCTGTGTGAAAGGGCCTAACTAATTGGAAACGGCTTTCACGTGACAAGGGAAGTTAAGAAAGAGAAGCATCTTGTATGAAAGAACCTTGGCTGTAATGGATACGCAAGAATTAGCTTTCAATACAATACAGAAAAGAGGTGTGACTATCACGTTTGTGGGTTGGTGATTTCTTTTTAAAGCATTCCTTATGACTTGCCGCAATTGATCAATGCAGGTATGCTCTCTCTAACACAATGGTGGACATTTCCGTGCATTCCCTTTTCCTAAAAGTGAAGGCAGTTCCAGGAATGCAGAAAACCACAAAAATATGGTTTGCATGAGACTGGATCTACACTGACCTATATCCCAGGATCTGATCCCAGATAATCTGGCAGTGTAGACTCATATAATCCAGTTCAAAGCAGATAATCTGGGATCAGATCTTGGGATATAGCACAGTGTAGCTCCAGCCTGTGTAAGACAATGAACAGGAAGAAAATGAACAAAATGGAACACCATTGCAAAACCAAGCATGGTAGCTTCTCATTCCTTCTTGACAAATAAAAACAGAGAATGAAGGCAAAGAGGGAATGGATGCACCTAAGAATAGCAGCTGCTTAAACCCACAATGAGACCTGCCTTTTTGGACTACAAAGTCCTACTTTCCCAGCTGAGGTGGATGGGAGCTGTAGTCCACCTATCATCTTCTTAGGTCTGCTCCTAACAATATAAAATGTCAGGAACTAAAAATCAAAACTGCAGTGTCTCTTGCCAGATGAGACGTATGGGAAAAATTATAAGGGAGTTGTTGTAAGTTTTCCAGGCTGTAGGGCCATGTTCCTGAAGCATTCTTTCCTGACGTTTCACCCGCATTGATGGCAGGCATCCTCAGAGGTTGTGAAGTCTGTTGAAAACTAGGAAAATGGGGTTTATATATCTGTGGAATAACGTCCAGGGTGGGAGAAAGAACTCTTTGTTGGAGGTAGGTGTGAATGTTTCTACTGGCATTTAATGGCCTAGCAGTTTCAAGGCCTGGCTTCTTACTGCCTGGGGAATCCTTTGTTGGGAGGTGATTACCTGGCCCTGACTGATTCTTGTCTGGAATTCCCCTGTTTTTGAGTGTTGTTATTTACTGTCCTGATTCTAGATTTTCTTAAAATACTGGTAGCCAGATTGTGTTAATTTTCATGGTTTTTTCCCCTTTCTATTTAAATTGTCCACATGCTTGTGGATTTCAATGGCTTTTTTGTATATCTGGCTACCAGTATTAAAAAACTCTAAATCGTAAGAGAGAGAAAACGAACAACACACAAAAACAGGGGAATTCCAGACAAGAAACAATCAGGGCCAGCTAATTACCTTCCAACAAAGGATTCCCCCAGGCAGTAGGAAGCCAGACCTTGGAAACTGCTAGGCCATTAAATGCCAATCAAGGTGGTCAATTGCAACATTCACACCTACTTCCAAAAGACAAGAGTTCTTTCTCCCACCCTGGGATATATACACCCCATTTTCCTAGTTTCCAACAGACCTCAGAAACTCTGCCGATGCCTTCCATAGATGCAGGCAAAACATCAGGAGAGAATGCTTCTGGAACATGGCCATACAGCTGGAAAACTCACAAAAACCCAAGGATTCTGGATGTGAAAGCTTTCGACAATACAAAGTTATAAGATTTGTCAGCCATAAGGTAAAAGAGAAGCACTTTTGCAACAGAAATAGACAAAGAAGAAGCCCATAACTCATTTGCCTTCTCCAAACATCCCATGTGCTGAAAACGTGGAACGAATGAGCCATTTAAATGGCTTATGTAACATTTTGCAGCATTCTCAGAACGCCTGGGAAACTTGGCAGCATCTGGGACCAACGCCTGGGAAACTTGGCAGCATCTGAGACCCTACTACTTGTCAAGCTCTTCCTCCTTCCTGCACAGCATGTCCTAGCTACACAAAGCACCGTGGTGCACAATGTCCAACACCGAGAAGGGCAGTTCTCAAACTGGACATCTCATTTTCACTTAAGAGTTGAGATCCTTGTTTTTTGCCAAAATAAAAAATAAAAACTACTGCATAACGCTCTGAAAGATACTTCATAAATGTCTTTGCTTTAAAAAATTACTCTCTAAAGGTTATAAAAGCTTTGTCAAAACTTTTTTTTACTACGAATGGTTTGGGACAAGGAGACTACTTCCTGATTGGGAAAAAAATTACAGCAACGTATTATATTATGATGTTGTAATGTGTGGGAGAATCCACCAAGGGGCTTGCAAACTACAGCCGATATCCCAAGGATTCCCATTAAAAAGGTTTTACTGCATAGTGACACATTCTTTCCCTACCGATGCATCATTGGCTTTCCACTTGAAGGAACCACTGGCACTCTATTTACATTCGAGAACCCTTTGCCATTTCTTCTTCTTCGGAGCAGTTGGAAATGCCAATAGGTCAAGTCAATGGGAGCCTCCCTAACAAAGGTGGAGGACCGCTTTGTTAATCTCTGGGTTTGTCCAGTCATTCCGGATGTCGTCCAGGTGGTTATCGAAATCCACCAGCGTCTCGTAGGACCGGCTGTCCAAAAGGGAGGCGGAAATCCTTTGGGCTTCGGACCAGTCTTCACAGTAGTCGCTAGGAATTGGAAGGAAAGGACAGAATTAAACAGCCTTTAAGAAGACCCAACCAAGCTTCCAGTCCTGCTTGAGCAAGAGGCAAAGGAATTATGCACAATGCCAGAGCATGAAGGGGAAAAGTAGTATTTTCTATTTCAAACCCCAGAATGCCCAGGGATTTGCATGTCAGAAATATTAAAAATTAACTAGGTATTTTTGATTACAAAAGTGTCAATCAAGCACAGAAAGAGTTAGTAGGCCGAAGCCTGTTAGAGTCAGTGGGGTAAAGCTAGTGTTGTCCTGAGGAGAGGGAGTAGGCCGAAGCCTGTTAAGTCAGTGGGCCAAAGATAGAGTCATCTTGAGAGGGAGTAGGCCAAAGCCTGTTAAGAGTCAGTAGGCCAAAGCTAGTGTAGTCCTGAGAAGAGTGAGTAAATCAAAGACTATTAGAGTCAGTGGGCCAAAGCTAGTGTCGTCCTGAGTAAGATGAAGCCTGTTACAGTCAGTGGGCCAAAGCTAATGTTGCCCTAATGAGAGTGAGTAGGCCAAAGCCTGTTAAGTCAGTGGACCAAAGCTAGTGTCATCCTGAGGAGAGGGAGTAGGCAAAAGCCTGTTAAGAGTCAGTAGGCCAAAGCTAGTGTAGTCCTGAGAAGAGTTAGTAGACCAAAGACTATTAGAGTCAGTGGGCCAAAGCTAGCGTCGTCCTGAGTAAGCTGAAGCCTGTTAAGAGTCACTGGGCCAAAGCTAGAGTAGTCCTGAGAAGAGTGAGTAGACCGAAGCCTGTCTGAGTCAGTTGGCCAAAGCTAGTATCATCCTGAGGAGAGTTAGTAGGCTGAAGCCTGTTAGAGTCAGTGGGCCAAAGCTGGTGTCGTCCTGAGGAGAGGGAGTAGGCCAAAGCCTGTCAGAGTCAGTGGGCCAAAGCCAGTGTCATCCTGAGGAGAGTCAGTAGGTTGAAGCCTGTTAGAGTTAGTGGGCCAAAGCTAGTGTCGTCCTGAGGAGTGTGAGGTAAACCTCTGTGTGAAAGAAGCCGCAGGATGAAGGCCTTGTGTGTAAAGCCTCATGTGTGAAGCTACAGTGTATAAAGGCTGCTGTGCATAAGAAGCTACTATGTGAAGCTCCTGTGTAAGTTCGGTCTGAGAGGAAGCTCTGTGAGAGTGAAGCTAGAAGCTGTTTATCTGCATAAGAAAGAAACCCAGCGTGGAAGCAAAGAAGGAATTATAAATAACTTTATTTTTGTCATGGAAACCTTGTTCTTGTAAATAGTGCAACTATATTATTTTGCTATAAAGAAAAGCCTCCTATGGAGGAGATAACATTGGTCTGTGTGTTTTTGTTCTTTTTATCACTTTGGTGCTGGGTCACACTGCTGCTGCTGCTAAGTTACTCTGCTGTACAGTAATGAGGAGGGTCTTTTGTTAATAAGCCTACACACCCAAGTTTGCATTCCCAAAAGCAAGCTTTACAAGCCGTAGCAGTGTGTATAATGGTAAGCACAGGCTCAGGTACACCATAGACTTTTAAATACATTTAAGCCAATGTAACCCTGTATATTTTAAGGTTTGTATTGTATTTTATAGGTTTTATCATGAGCCACTTCGAGTTTTTTTTTACAGAGAAAAAGCAGGATATAAATAATAACAATCACCCTGTGGAATATGTGACACCATTCCTTCCACATTACACAGCTATACTTCCCAAACTGACTGCATTTGGATGTAGTGCTGGAACTGGGATTTAGCACTGTTATTTAAATATTGATAGCTGATTTCTACACTATGCATTTGATATTGTACAGTCAACATGTGTGTGCATTTACAGCAAACTGTACTTTTTCGGTGTCTAATATTATGTATTTGTTATAGGTTGTTTTGGAATTCATTTGAAAAGTAAAAATATTAGGTCAATAGTATCCATGAGGATTTGGTTCCACATGGATAAGAAAAACAGTGGCCCCATATTAAGTGGCAGAGACAGGAATGCACACAATTCAATATGTCTACATTCAAATTGCCGGAAGTTTGTAATATGGGACATAATGAACCTTGTGCAAGTGAAAGTCACATATCCAGAGGGCCACCATATAAAGGATAAAAAATATGAATGCTGTTTATCTTCCTAAATTGGAAGGTCTCTTCCAAGCATACTCACTAGTGTGGGTCTTTGCACCTCCATTTGTTTTCGTGATGCTCATAGACGTGAACTGCCGGTAAAATGCACTCCATTGTGAATTTGGTATTATCCACCTAATGCAGAAGAGAAAGAGGGGACATGTTTTCTTCACGCTAAACCTTGTGAATGTGATAACAGTGGTGTGGATATCCTCTGGACTCTATAGTCAATATCAACTGGAAACTGACAACAAAGTTGTGCTGGAGGAGATATACCTGGAGAGGTATTACCTTTAGGCTCCTCTAGTCATCCTGCAGCAGAAGATGGCCCTAAAGTTGCACTTGAGCACCTAACGATTTCCAGAGAGATTATAATATTCAAACCTAGGAATAATCAAATCTGCAGAAATTAAACCCACAAATATGAAAGCCGAATATATGCACACGTTTGGCACCAGATAAACACCTTTCTCCCTGCTGCTACACTAACTCCTGCATGCCACCCTCCAATGCAGCCTATGACAGTTAAGACATTCTTTCTAATATTAGGTGGAATCTCTTATACTTGGAATCCATTGGTCTGCATTCAGGTCTCTGGATAAGCAGGAAACAAGCTCCACCTTCTACAAGGCATTTAAAAATATTTAAAGATAGCTAGCACATTTATTTACAATAACTTACTGAGGGATACAGGCAGTCTTCAAGATATCCAGCTCCCAAACCATATTCCAGTGGTTTCTATTACTTGCCTTCTTATTTTAATTAAAATAAACTGGTGGAATCCATAACCACTTTTGGAAAGGTTTGAAAAACAATGTTCTTGAGTACAAGGTAATGCACATACTGCTGAACTCAGACCGCCTGAAAAACTACTGATGTGGCCGCTTGGGTTTTCTCAGACCCTCCTCTCTCTCACCACCCTATCCTATCCTTCCTTCTCTCTTTCCTTTCTTTCCTTCCTTCCTTCCTTCCTTCCTTCTTCCCTACCGCCCTTACCTCTCTCATTCTCCTTCCATCCTTCCTTCACTTCACCCTTTCGTCCGTCCTTCCTTCCTTCCCTTTTTCCTTCTTTCTCTTTTGTCTTTGTTTCCTTCTCTCTTTCCTCCCTCCCTTCCCTCCCACCCTTCCTTCTTTCCTTCCATCCTTCTCTCCTTCCTTCTCTCCTCCAGGGAGATGTTTAGATGTTCCAAAATTTCAAAGGGTGTCCTACTGAGGAGGGAGGGGAAAAACTGACTTTCTGCTGCACTAGAGACTAGGGCACAAGGGAACAATGGGTCCAAATGGCAAGGAAGGATTAGATTGAAAAGATTAGAAAGAATTTCCTAGAGAATGGCATAGGCTGCCTGGGAGTGAGGCACAGTCTCCTTCTCTGGAGGCTTAGCTGCAGAGGCTGTCTATTGGGAGTCCTTTGATTGTGCCTTCCTGCATGGCAGAGAGTTGGACAGGATGGCCCTTCGGGGTCTCTTCCAGCTCTAGGATTCTATATCAGAAGTAGGCAATACAGGGTCTTTTTCTCTCTTGTCCACCACTGCATCCTGACCAAGGCCAACCCTTTTGGGATCCAAACGTTTCCCATCTTTCCTTCACTTTCTGCCTCTGAAAGAGAAGAGGAAGGGGAGGAAAGGGCAGGGAGGGGGCTTGGGGAGAAACCCCGCCCTCCCTCCCAGCCCACCCATCCTGCTCTGATCCACCATGCAACCCTCAAGTTAGAAAGTTTGCCCATGTCTGTACTATACCATTATGAGTGCCGTGTCACTGAATCCTTCTGCAATCCTGGAAGCAACCTTTTCAGCAACCTGGTTTGGACTACAAAAGATGGACATGTTAGTCGCAGGATTCTGCTATTATTCATATCTGTCAGAATGAAATAAGAAAAAAATTGAGTGATGACCAATTTTTGACACAATCGAGCAAAATACCAATGGCAGTAATTGTATTAGCTCAAAATGAAAGAAAAAAAGACATTCAGAAATTATTCCCTCATAGTGTAAAATTAAATTTCCTTGAAATTAACTGCAGGCAGGGTGTCACTTCCCTTGGTACTGCCCATATAGCTGCACTTTCTATACAATAATAATAGTCCTACTGAGACTGCAATATGGACATAGCTATGAATATATGTGCACCTTTTATCAGCCTTGTGGCAAGAGGCATAAATCAAAGCATGAGCCAGAGAGTTGGAGCAACCTACCTGGCATCTTTTAAACGCTCATTAGCTTGATAGTATCCGGCTATTACGTAGCTATTCTCTTTGCACCATGAATCGATCTGAAAAGACATTAGAAACATTTATAAGCACCCCTAAGCCATTATAGCACTGCCTTAAATTCTATGGTTTCCAAAGGGAAATAAGTAGTGAACAAGGGCATGCGGAGAGCCACCTGATGCTCGTTCTGGGCGTGGGCAAACCTCGCTTCCTTTGATAACTGGAATAAAAGGAAGGAGGTGAGAATCAATGACTGGCAACAGTTTTAGATCTGACAGGTCACCAGGTGAAGATTATTACTCTTAAACATTTCATACAGTACTATGACTGTGTACATGACATGCAACTTGTTAATTATAAACCACTGCCATCATATGTGACAGTTCATAGCTATTTTCACACTACAGATATGAGAACTGAAATTAAGTTCACAACTTGCAGCAGAGAGAAAAGCACAATACTCCCAAATAACTATCCATTTCCCTGACCACTGGACCACATTACTAGGGAAAATGACCTTACTATAGTTTATTATGTGTTCCTGCAAGGCATGAGGTTGGATCACATGTTCTTTGTGGTCTCTCATGACTTTGTGACTCTATGAGAATATCTGAATATGTAGATCAAGATTTCAAATCATAGAATCATTGTGTTGGAAGAGACCTGGTGGGCCATCCAGTCCAATGCCATTCTGTCAAGAAGCAGGGATTGCATTCAAAGCACCCCTGATATATGGCCATCTAGCCTCTGTTTAAAAGCCTCCAAAGAAGGAGCCTCCACCACACTCAAGGGCAGAGAGTTCCACTGCTGAACAGCTCTCTCAGTTAGGAAGTTCTTCCAAATGTTCAGGTGGAATGTTACATCTGTCATAAATTTGCTTGCTTGCTTTGGTCTTAAGCCCAAGACTGCTATTTCGCCAAAAGGAGCCAGTGATCTAGTTCATAGGCAGTGAAGTGAAGCAGAACAGATACCAAAGAACATGTGAAACTCATAGACATAAACCGGTACAATGCCCTTCACTGCAAATTTGGTGTTATTGATCTAATGCAGAAGATTGGCACTGTACTACAGCAGCTTCATTTTCATAGTAATTAGGATTCTTACATTCTCATATATTATTGTTGTTCATTTGTTCCGTCATTTCCGACTCTTCGTGACTTCATGGACCAGTCCACGCCAGAGCTCCCTGTCGCTCGTCACCACCCCCAGCTCCTTGAAGGTCAATCCAGTCACTACAAGGATACCATCCATCCATCTTGCCCTTGGTCGGCCCCTCTTCCTTTTTCCTTCCATTTTTCCCAGCATCATTGTCTTCGCTAAGCTTTCCTTTCTTCTCATGATGTGGCCAAAGTACTTCATCTTGGCCTCTACTATCCTTCCCTCCAATGAGCAATCAGGCTTTATTTCTTGAAGTATGGACTGGTTGAATCTTCTCACTGTCCAAGGCACTCTCAGAACTTTCCTCCAGCACCAAAGTTCAAAAGCACCTCTCTTCCTTTGCTCAGCCTTCCCTATGGTCCAGCTCGGGGAATACCATTGCTTTCGTCAATCCCCACACATCGCATGATGTTTTCTGCATACAAGTTGAATAGGTTGGGTGAGAGTATATAATCCTGCCGTACGCCTTTCCCAATCTTGAACCAGTCTGTTGTTCCATGGTCAGTTCTTACTGTTGCTATTTGGCCCTTATACAGATTTTCATATATATAAACATACAAGAGAAAAGAAACCCAAGGAAGAGAGTTCAAGAAGCTTAACTAGACCAGAAGCATCATTGCTGGTCATGTCATGCACTAAAAGGGCAGATCCATGGGATAAAGGGGCTGGAAAAATGGGGACAGATGGCAGAAGTCAGGATCTTTCATCCTTTTGTGGAGCAGAGGGGCTGGTGACAGCTGGTCTTGCCAGCAAACCCTTGGGTAGGAGAGGGCGGGGAAGAAGTTGGCCAGGTGGCTATTGACCCCATTCCCAAGCGGTTGACGTCCAAAGCAGTCGTGGGTTTTAAAGAAAGATCAACATCTCAGAATCCTTGTCTGCAAATAAGGGGCAGGCAGGGTGGTGCTTTTTCCTCCTCACTGCATGGGTTCCTTTAATTAGGGGAGGCATTTGCATAAAACTCATTTCATTTTATCCTAATGCAACATCTAATCTACCACAAAGCTTTGTTAGAATTAAAGGGGCAAATTGATATTGGGTGTCAGGGGGTGGGGAAGAGATCTGGTTTGAAATGAGGCATTCATCTCGGTTCACATTTTGGCTCAGTTTCAATGGTTTAGAGTCTATCATATTTGCAGTAAGAGTATCTGATTAAGATAATCCAATGGTTTAGGGAGGTGAAAAAATAAAGCTATAAACGGTAACCCCTCCCTCCTGTTTTGGTCTCAACTAGTATCCCTTTTTTAAAAAAGAGAGAAATTAAAGTGGATTCCAGAACATTTTGGATGCTGAACTCCAGCTTCCTACAAAAGACATCAATCTCATAGTTAGAATAATTACAATCCTGAATTAAACTGTCTAAACGCAGAACAAAGTGATACAAATAATCCCTTCTAAAGAAATGACATGAATTTATGCGTTTCATTAAATTGTCACTATGCCGCATTGTGATACTTAAAAAGCCAACTGCTGTGCCATCATAACCCCCATTTGATGGGTTTAAATTGCCAGGAAGTTTCAATCTTGTAACTAAAGACTAAATGCCTGCAAAAGACACTCTTGTTCACAATAAACATTAAAAAGCTAGTTTTAATTCTTCCTTCGGCTGCTCGATACCAAGCTCAGCTTCCATTCGGCTAGCAGAGAGTGCGAGAGAGCAACAAGGCTCATAACAATGGTTGCTAACAAGAGTTTTTGTCGTTAAGTGCTGCGGAAAATGCCAAGGCCATCGCTGAATGTAGGAAAAGCTAATTACCGCTACAAGCATTTTCCGCTATTAAATGTAAGAAATGTAATTTTACGATGCTTATGTACACACCAGGTCTCACAGATGAAGGTCTTAAAACAAGTACACCCATATAACAAGTTTTTATCCCCTTCCAGAGACTCAGTATGTATATTAGATAAGAGATAAAGGACCTGACATTAAGTCTAGTCGTGTCCAACTCCGGGGATTGGTGCTCATCTCCATTTCTAAGCCAAAGAGCTGGCAATGTCCGTAGACACCTCCAAGGTCACGTGGCTAGCATGACTACATGGAGCGCCATTACCTTCCCACCAAAGTAGTACCTATTGATCTACTCACATTTGCATATTTTCGAACTGCTAGGTTGGCAGAAGCTGAGCCTAACAGCAGGATCTCACTCTGCTCCCTGGATTCAAACCTGCCAACCTTTCGGTCAGCAAGTGCAGCAGCTCAGTGGTTTAACCCAATGAGACATCAGGGGACCCAGTATGTATATTACACTAGCATATATACCTGGCGTTACCTGGGTATGCATTTTCTTTATGACTTTCTTTTCTTCCTGCCTTTCTCCTGTACACATAGAATAAAGAATCATAGAGTTGGAAGAGACCGCATGGGTCATCCAGTTCAACCCCATTCTGCCAAGAAGCAGGAAAATTGCATTCGAATCACCCGACAGATGGCCATCCAGCCTCTATTTAGAAGCCTCCAAAGAAGGAGCCTCCACCACACTCCAGGGCAGAGAGAAAGCCGCTTTCTCTCACAGCTTGGAAGTTCTTCCTAATGTTCAGGTGGAATCTCCTTTCTTGTAGTTGAAGCCATTGTTCTGCGTCCTAGTCTCCAGGGCAGCAGAAAACAAGCTTTCTCCCTCTTCCCTATGACTTCCTCTCACATCTTAATCCATGGCGCTCATCATATCTTCTCTCAGCCTTCTCTTCTACAGACTAAACATGCCCCAGCTCTTGAAGCTGCTCTGTATAGAGCTTGTTCTCCAGACTGTTGTTCCTTTGAGTTGCCCTCCTCTGGACACCTTCCAGCTTAGAATCAATCTCTCCCTTCAACTGCAGTGCGTAGAATGGAAAACAGTGTGATTCAGGTGTGGTCTGAGGGGTAGAATGACTTCCCTGGATCTAAGCACTAGGTTCCTATTGATGCAGGCCAAAATCCCATTGGCTTTTTGAGCTGTTGCATGACATTGTTGGCTCATGTTTAACTTGTTCCCCATGAGGACTTCCCAAGATCTTTTCCATGTCCTGCTGTCGAGCCAGGCATCGTCTCCCATTATGTACCTTTGCATTTCATTTTCGATACCTAAGTATCATGCATTTGTCCCCGTTGAACTTCACTGTGTTAGTTTTGGTCAATCACCTCTCTCATCTGTGAAGGTAGCTTTGAATTCTGCTCCTGTCTTCTGAGGTATTAGCTATTCCTCCCCATTTGGTCCCATCTGCAAACTTGATGATCATGTCTTCTAACTCTTCTACACCTTCTCCATCTTTCTTTCCTTGCTTGTCCTCATACTCCTTCCTCTCCCTTTGATCTTTCCCTACTTTTTTCTTTCTTTCATTCCTTCTTTCTCCCTATCTCATTCTCTCCTCTTATATCCCTTTCCTTTCCTTTCTCTTCTTTCTTTCTCCATCCTTTATTTTCTTCCTTCCCATCATAAACGTGCCACATAACAGCTACCAATCCATCTCACTCCCTTTCTTTCCCAGTCACATGACAAAGGGCCACTTCACCTAGCAACAGCCAATACGCTTTGTTCCTTTTCTTTCCTTCAGCTCTGGGCCCAAAAGGGGCGTGTGTGTTTGTTTTTTTAATTGTTTAAACCCCCCAATGAAGGATATGTGTGCCAAATTTAGTCCAGTTCCTTGTGTTACCTACCAGCTAACTAACCAACCAACCTATACATACTTTGATTTTTTATGTATATAGAGATAACGCAAATTGGTCAAAAAGTAGACAAGAAGAGAACCAATATATTATTGTGAAATTATGCACTATTGTGAAACTCTCTTATATCTCAGGCTACAGTCCCTCCAACGCTGAATGAAACAATATAAACTGGAGATTCAAGACTGATCCCATAACTAGGACAGCTGAACAATGCAAAACAAAAATTCACATTTAGTGTTTTTACTTCTAATCTGCAAATAAGATATCAAGTTTGATTGTCACTGTAAAACTCACCAGACAGCACATTTAAAAAAATACACAACAATGGTAAGTGCCTTGGCCTTGTAAGGTAGACTGCATTAGCGCTGATTAAATATTTTTGAAACTGCCACATGCTTTCATTTGGAAGCCATGTTGATTTACTAATTGGGTCCACTCTGCCCATTTCCAATTCACATTAAAAGGATGAATCATTTTTTTGTAATTGGTTTGAGTGAGGACTTTTCTCATCCAAGCACTTCTATAAACTATAGATTTTTACTCAGAAGAAGTGCCTTGAGTGACACTTGCTATGTGTCCTTAAATAACCAGAATTTTAACACAGACTCAATTTTTCCAAAGCAAAGTGATGTTTTGGAAAAAGCTCCAGAACTTATCTGATCTTGGAAGCCAAGCAAGGCAAGGCCCAGCCAGTACTTGAATGGGAACACAACAAGTGATGTCAGGTGCTATATAAAATGGCAAACCTCCTCTGAGTATTCCTGGTTTAAGAAAATTCTATACAATTCATGGAGATGCCATAAATCAATAGATGACTTGAAGGCATATATACCTATAAGTAGATTTATGCATATAAGATCTCGCAATTAGAAGCTAGCAAGAAATCAGAAGCATCCCTTTTTTCCATTAATTTAAAACCATTAATCAAAGCCATTAAATGCAGAGTAAAGATAGATCATGCTTATGTATTATATAAACTAAAATTCCTTCAACATGTTAAGTCCTGTATATGTGGCTCCTTTACTCACCCTTTTCTCACAATGCTTTGAAGCAGTGGTTCTCAACCTGGGGTCTCCAGGTGTTTTGGCCTACAACTCCCAGAAATCCCAGCTAGTTTACCAACAGTTAAGATTTCTGGAAGTTGAAGGCCAAAACATCTGGGGACCCACAGGTTGAGAACTACTGCTATAAGGCACATCACCCTTTTTGACACAGAGAGAGTAACTAACTCCTTGATAAACATCAGGACTAAGGAAGGACTAGAACCAGGGCTGATTAGGCAATGATTAGTTTAACATCCCCTCAATGTGGACGAGGTCTTTGTTTACGGATATATTTTGACTCAGGTATTTTGGCTTTTATCTAATTTATAGGAATCAACGTGTCTTAACTAATGTTTTATACTCCTTTTGATTTAATTGTCTATTTTGCTTTATTATGTTCTGTCTTTTATATTGACTTGTCATGTTGTCACCTGTTTTATTTTATTTTGCATATGTTCTTCTTTGTATTTATTTATATTGTAAGCCACTCCAAGTCCTTCTGGGAGATGGGGTGGAGTATAAATAAAGTTTATTACTATCAGATACATACAACCATACAACCCCCCTGCTGGATCAACTCCACTGGCTGCCAATTCGCTACTGAGCACAATTGAAAATGCTGGCTTTAGCCTATAAAGTCTATAAAGCCCTAAACGGTTCCGGCCCAACTTTCTTGTCTGAATATACCTCTCCCTATGAACCAACCTGGACACTAAGATGCTCTGGGGAGGCCCTGTGCTCCATCGCACTTCCTTTGCAGGTGTGGCTGGTGGGGACAAGGGACAGGGTCTTCTCAGTAGTGGCCCCTCAGTTATGGAACTCCCTCCCTAGCAAAATCAGATTGGCGGATCAAGCATTTGGGGAGTAGCACAGGGCCAACATGTAGTAATGAAGAGAATAGAATGCAATTTGGAACAGCTTCTTGACTTACGAGTTTGAGTTGAGATGCCATGTTTAACAGTATATGTAATGCATTTATATGTCATTGTTTTATGACATAATAATAATAATAATAATAATAATAATAATAATAATAAATCTGTAGCCCGTCCTATCTCCCCAGGGGGATTCTGGGTGACTTCCAACATAATAAAGGCAAACAGTCAAAGGCTTTAGAATCTATATAAATAAAAATTTTAATGTTCGTTTGTGGGATTAACATAACTCAAAAACCACTGGATGAATTGACACCAAATTTGGACACAATCCACCTACTAGGCCAACAAGTGACCATTACTCATAAAAACACAACAGAAGGGACTATAAAAGCCAAAAAAGCAAAAAGATGCTACAGCGCATGCGCAAAATGACTCCCTCTGGCAAACAAAACACACAAAAGCATATCCACACTCTTTCTACTACAGCTCCCAGCATCCCCTAGACCAGACCAAATGCACTGCTTCCAAGATGCAAGCTTTCTTCTCCTTGGATTTCTTTGAGAGCATTCCAATCCCTGCATATTTCCAATTTCCTATTCCTGGACTGCAACTCCCAGCAATCCTCCAGATAGATTAGATAGAGATAGGTAGGTAGATCAGGAGTAGTGCTGGGAGTTGCAGTCCAAAAACGGGTAGAGAAGGTAGAAAGAGGAAGGGAAAGAAAGATGTGGGGGGGAGGAAAGGAAGAAGAAGAGAAGGAAGGAAGGAAGGAAGGAAGGAAGGAAGGAAGGAAGGAAGGAAGGAGAGAAAGAAAGAAAGAAAGAAAGAAAGAAAGAAAGAAAGAAAGAAAGAAAGAAGAGAAAGGAGAGAGAAGGAAGGAGAGAAAGAAAGAGGGAGGGAAGGTTGGCCACAGCAACGTGTGGCGGGTACAGCTAGTCTATATAAATAAAAATATAATGTTTGTTTGTGGGATTAAAAGAACTCAAAAACCACTGGGCGAATTGACACCAAATTTGGACACAAGACACCTAACAACCCAATGTATGTCCTTCACTCATAAAAACACCGGAAAACACAGCAAAAGGGACTTAAAAAGCCTCGAAAGCTAAATGACAAAAAGCTAAATTACAATACAGAAGAAAGGGAAGAAAGAGGGAAGGAAGGGGAGGAAAGAAAGAAATTATTATTATTATTATAATTATATATTATATTATTATAATAATTATTTATTATTAACTTTATTTGTACCCCACTAGCATCTCCTGAAGGACTCGATGCAGCTTACAAAGGCCAAGGCCTCAATACACAGCATAACAATACAAAACCTAAAGCAAATTAAAAAACCTATACAAAACCTAAAGCAAATTAAAAACAATTAAAGCAATATTACAAAACAACAAACAATAAAACAATACACCAAAACACAATAAAACTGGGCCGGGCCAGAGTAATGGGTACAGAAATAAAAGTTCTGATGTGACAGGTGGTATATAAGGATTATAGGGTAAGTGCAGTGTGCAGCAATCTTAGTTCTAATAAAGTGCTTCTGGGACTTGTTATTGGAGATTTCCTATTCTGGAAAGGCACATCGGAACAGCCAGGTCTTCAAGTTCTTTCTAAAGACTGCCAATGTAGGGGCCTGTCTAAGATCTTTGGGGAGGGTGTTCCAGAGTCGGGGGGCCACCACAGAAAAGGCCCTGTCTCGTGTCCCCACCAAATGCGCTTGCGACGCAGGCGGGATCACGAGCAGGGCCTCTCCAGATGACCAAAGTGAACGCGTGGGTTCGTAAACGGAGATGCGGTCACGCAGGTAGGATGGTCCCAAACCATTCAGGGCTTTGTAGGTAAGCGCCTGCACCTTAAATTGGGCTCGGAAAGAGGGAGGGAGGGAAAGAAAGAAAGAAACGGAGAAGAAAGGAAGGAAAGACGTAGAGAAGGAAGAAAGGAGAGAAATAGGGGAGGGAAAGAAAAAGGGGGAAGGAAGAAAAGTTAGAGAAGGAAGGGAGGAGAGAAGGACAGAAAAAAGGGAAAGAAGGAAGAAAAGAGGGAGAGAAAGAAAGGGGGAAGGAAGAAAGAGACAGCAGAAAGAGAAAGAAAAGGGGGAAGAGGAAGAGAGAAGGAAGGAGAGAGAAGGAAAAAGGAAAGAAGGAAGGAAAGAGGGAGAAGGAAGGGGGAAGATGTAGAGAAAGGGAGGGAGGAAAGAAGGAAAGAGAGAAGGAAGAAAGAGACAGCAGAAGAGAAAGAAAAAGGGGGGAAGGAAGGAAAGAGATAAGAGAAGGAAGGAAGAAGAGAAGGAAAGACGGGAAGGAAGGGAATGAAGGAAGGAAAAAAGGAGAAGGTTGGCCACAGCAAAGCGTGGCGGGTACAGCTAGTAGTCAATAAAACAGAAATTCCTTGACTTTCTTCATTATCCAGCGGATATTGGCAATTTGGTCTCTTATTCCTCTGCCAGCTGTTAGGAATTGTGGGAGTTGAAGTCCAAAACACCTGGAGGGAGAGCCCAAGTTGGCCTATGCCAGTGGTTCTCAACCTGTGGGTGCCTAGATGTTTTGGCCTCCAACTCCCAGAAATCCCAGCTGTTAGGATTTCTAGGAGTTGAAGGCCAAAACATCTGGGGACCCACAGGTTGAGAACTACTGGCCTATGCCAGGTGTGGATACACACAAACCAGGCCTTAATTCCCCACCGCACTCTCACCAGGGTGAGGGCCACCTCCATCATGGGCGCGAGGGCCAGGCTGCCGTGGAAGAGCGGGACGCAGTCGACGAAGAGGCCGGGCGAGGTGGGCCCGGACCCGGGCTTCTCGGCCACCAGCAGCCCGTTGACGGCGCAGTGCGGGTACTTGGCCCCGTGGAGCACCACCTTGCAGTAGGCCTGCGTGCTCAGCTTCATCCTCGCCTCACGTGGGCCGCCCAGCAAGGCCTCACCTCTCGCTCGCCCTCAACACCAACACCACCGGCTTCCGCTTCCTCCCACCTGCCGCCAAGCAGGCGCCTCCGCCGTAAAGGGACAGAAACGTCGCAAATACGTGTCGCGAACCGGAAATAGGTTTTTCCTATGCAGTCTATGGGCGCATTCAAAAGGTAGGTTCAAGTTGCATTATGTTATATTTATTAATTATGTAATATATTATAATATGTAATAAGTTATAATATCCAATGCATATAATATTATAATATGCAATGTATATTTATGTTATGTTAGGCAATATATATTTATTATGTTAGGAAATATATGTTATATATTATGAAATGTATATTATAATATGCTCTATATATATATATATATATATATATATATATATATATATATATATAAACACAAGATATGTATTACAATACGTAATATAATATGTAACATATATTATATTAATTACGTTATATTATTATCCATGGGAAAAAGTGGTTATAATAATAACTATAACTATAACTATAACTATATATATATATATATATATATTACATATACTCTGTGTATGTGTGTGTGTATATATATATATATATATATGCAAATATATTATTTTATATTATCAATGTTGCATTATGTCGAGTTGCATTATGTTATATTTATTAATTATGTAATATATTATAATATGTAATATGTTATAATATCCAATGCATATTATATTATAATATGCAATGTATATTTATGTTACATTAGGCAGTATATATTTATTATGTTAGGCAATATATGTTATATATTATGAAATGTATATTATAATATGCAATATATATATATATATATATATATACACACACAAGATATATATTACGATACGTAATATAATATGTAACATATATTATATTAATTACGTTATATTATTATCCATGGGAAAAATGGTTATGATATAATAATAACTATAACTATATATATATTACATATGGAGCCCCCGGTGGCGCAGTGGGTTAAAGCGCTGAGCTGCTGAGCTTGTTGATCGAAAGGTCGCAGGTTCGATTCCGGGGAGCGGCGTGAGCTTCCGCTGTCAGCCCTAGTTCTGCCAACCTAGCAGTTCGAAAACATGCAAATGTGAGTAGATCAATAGGTACCGCTCCGGCGGGAAGGTAAGGGCGCTCCATGCAGTCATGCCGGCCACATGACCTTGGAGGTGTCTACGGACAACGCTGGCTCTTCGGCTTAGAAATGGAGATGAGCACCACACCCCAGAGTCAGACATGACTGGACTTAATGTCAGGGGACTACCTTTACCTTTACCTATTACATATATTCTCTCTCTCTCTCTCTCTCTCTCTCTCTCTCTGTGTGTGTATATATATGCAAATATATTATTTTATATTATCAATGGGAAAAGTTTGATATGATAACCCTAGACCAATGTGGGCTAGGCAAAACTACGTAATTGGTTAAATGGACGAACCCAGAGGGTGAGTCTCCCCAATGCTTCCTCTTCATCTTGGAAAGAAGTGACAAGCGGAGTGCCACAAGCAGGGTTCCGTCCTGGGCCCGGTCCTGTTCAACATCTTTATTAATGACTTAGATGAAGGGCTTGAAGGCAGGATCATCAAGTTTGCAGACGACACCAAATTGGGAGGGATAGCCAATACTCCAGAGAACAGGAGCAGGATTCAGAACGATCTTGACAGATTAGAGAGATGGGCCAAAGCTAACAAAATGAAGTTCAAAAGGGACAAATTCAAGATACTCCACTTAGGCAGAAAAATGAAATGTAAAGATACAGAATGGGGGACAATGCCTGGCTCGAGAGCAGGACGTGTGAAAAAGATCTTGGAGTCCTCATGGACAACAAGTTAAACATGAGCCAACAATGTGATGTGGTGGCAAAAAAAGCCAATGGGATTTTGGCCTGCATCAAGAGGAGCATAGTGTCTCGAACTAGGGAAGTCATGCTAGCCCTCTATTCCGCTTTGGTTAGACCACACCTGGAATATTGTGTCCAATTCTGGGCACCACAATTCAAGAGAGATATTGACAAGCTGGAATGTGTCCAGAGGAGGGCGACTAAAATGATCAAGGGTCTGGAGAACAAGCCCTATGAGGAGTGGCTTAAAGAGCTTGGCATGTTTAGCCTGAAGAAGAGAAGGCTGAGAGGAGATATGATAGCCATGTATAAATATGTGAGAGGAAGCCACAGGGAGGAGGGAGCAAGCTTCTTTTCTGCTTCCTTGGAGACTAGGACACGAAACAATGGCTTCAAACTACAAGAAAGGAGATTCCATCTGAACATGAGGAAGAACTTCCTGACTGTGAGAGCCGTTCAGCAGTGGAACTCTCTGCCCTGGAGTGTGGTGGAGGCTCCTTCTTTGGAAGCTTTTAAACAGGCTGGATGGCCATCTGTCAGGGGTGATTTGAATGCAATATTCCTGCTTCTTGGCAGCGGGTTGGACTGGATGACCCATGAGGTCTCTTCCAACTCTTTGATTCTATGATATATGCAATTCATATTATATTACATTATATATATTATAACTGGCAATATAATATGTAATATATGTTATATAAATTATATTAATATCCATGGGAAAAAGTGGGCATATGGTAATACGAATATTATCATTATCATTATATGTGTGTGTGTGTGTGTAATATATATTAATGATATCATATTATTATCCATTGGAGGAAGTGGGTATGATATAATGATAATACTATATATTTATGTGTGTGTGAACATTTTATTATGCAATTTATATTATAATATGCGCTCTCTCTCTTTCTCTCTCTAATATTATTATCCATAGGAGGATAATAATGCATATGTTTTCATGATGCAATTTTAATGGATATCTTGTTTCATGCTGATGTGTAATATACTTAAGGTTCTTAATTTATAGTATACTAGCTGTATCCGCCCCACGCGTTGCTGTAGCCAACCTTCCCTCTCTCTTTCTCTCTTCCTTCCTTCCCCTTTTTTCCCCTTCTCTCTTTCCTTCCTTCTCTCCCTCCTTCCTTCCTTTTCTTTCCCTTCCTCTTTCTCTCCTTTCTTCCTTCTCTACCTATTCTTGGACTGTAATTCCCAGCAGTCCTCCTGATCAATCTTTCTACCTCTCTATCTATCTCTATCTAATCTATCTATCTTACTATCTGGAGGATTGCTGGGAGTTGCAGTCCAGAAATAGGAAATGGGAAATATGCAGGGATTGGGATGCTCTCAAAGAAATCCAAGGAGAAGAAAGCTTGCAGCTTGGAAGTAGTCCATTTGGATCATCCCCCTCGCCTAAAGGGCCTGGTCTAGGGGATGCTGGGAGCTGTAGTCCGGAAGAGAATGTGGATATGCTATTGTGTGTTTTGTTTGCCGGGGGAGTTGTTTTTGCACATGCACTGTAGCGTCTTTTGGCTTTTTCAAAGTCCCTTCTGTTGAGTTTTTCAGTGTTTTTATGAGTGATGGTCATTCATTGGCCTGATAGGCGTATTGTGTCTGAATTTGGTGTCAATTTGCCCAGTGGTTTTTGAGTTATGTTAATCCCACAAATGAATATTACATTTTTATTTATATAGATGTTATTATCTAGAAATTATGTCTTGGTTTTCACATGTTTGTACGGCATTGAACTTTGCCACTATTATGTTGGAAACCGCTTTGATTCCCCTCAGGGATGAGAAAGTGGTATATAAATGCAGTAAATAAATAAATAAATAAATAACTTTAATAATAATAATAATTTTCAGCATTCTTCTGGAACATGGCCATACAGTCCAGAAAACTCACAGCAACCAATAATAAAAAGAAAATAATAATAGCAACTCCCTCAAAGTCCCAAGGAATTCACAAACATATAAAATAATATATTTAATATAATATAATATATATATAATAAATAATATGTATAATAAATATAATATATAATATATATGTATAATTAAAATAAATCTACATATATATATAAATGCTCTGTGCATAATGAGTACCTTAAAAACAAAAGAACCAATGAACGAAATCACACCAAATTTGGAAACAAAACGTCTCACAATACGAGTGACCATCACTCAAAAAATTATGATTTCGTCATTTGCGAGTTGTAGTTGCTGGGATTTATAGTTCACCTATAACCAAAGAGCATTCTCAACTCCACCAACGATGGAATTGAACCAAACTTGGCACACTGGACTCCCATGACCAATAGAAAACACTAGAACGGTTTGGTGGACATTGACCTTGAGTTTGGGAGTTGTAGTTCACCTACATCCAGAGAGCAGCGTGGACTCAAAACAATGAAGGTCCTGGACCAAACTTGGCTCAAATACTACAAACGCCCAAATTTGAACACAGATGGAATTTGGGCAAAATAGACCTTGACATTTGGCGGTTGTCACTGAGATTTATAGATCACCTACAATCAAAGAGCATTCTGAGCCCCACCAACGATAGACTTGGCCAAACTTCCCACACAGAACTTCCATGACCAACAGCAAATACTGTGTTTTCTGATGGTCTTTGGCAACCCTTCTGACACCCCCTCGAGGACCCCCCAGGGGTCACTAGGTTGAGAAATGCTGCCTTAAGGCCATCCAGTCCAGCTCCCTTTACCAGATCAAAAAAACATAATCAAAGCCCTCCTGACAAAGAGCCATCCAGCCATAGATATAGATACATATTTATGATACACACACTGTATATGTATATGACAGATATAGTATCATAGATTGGAAAGGGACCCCTAAAGAATAATAATAATAATAAACCTTTATTTATACCCCGCTAACATCTCCCGAAGGACTTGGTGCAGCTTACAAGAGGCCGACGCCCAACACAACAAAAAATAACAGCATAACAAATACAACAATAAATAACTCATAAAAGAAGCAATAAACATTAAAACAATAGCAATTAACATTAGACAATAACACTGTGACACATTTAAAACTAAGGCCGGGCCAATGTAATGATTAAAAATTTTAAAATGCTGGGCATGACAGGTGAAATAGATAGGTTTTTGGAGATAGGTGCAATGTGCAGACAATCTTAAATCTCTAGTAAAGTGCATTTGGGACATGATGCTTGGAGCAGGCATGTAGCTGGGGGGGGGGGCTTGAGGGGCTTCAGCCCCCCCCCCCCCCGAAATTCTCATTGTGGTTCGTGAAAAGGCCTTACTGGTGCATTATTTAAACTGTTATGTTTATTCATATCATGATCTGATCACCATACTCAATATATCCCATATGCATGGGGGTATTGAGGTAATGATACAAAAGGTTTGCTAGGCTAGACCCTCTTTCACTCAGACTCAGCCCCCCCCCCCCCGAAACAAACTTTTGGGACATGATGCTTGGAGTTTCCTATTCTGGGAAGGCACACTGGAACAGCCACGTCTTCAAGCTCTTCCTAAAGACTGCCAACGTTGGAGCTTGTCTGATGTCCTTGGGGAGAGAGTTCCAGAGTCGGGGGGCTACCACAGAGAAGGCCCTGTCCCTCGTCCCCACCAATCGCTTGCGACGCAGGTGGGATCGTGAGCAGGGCCTCTCCAGATGATCGGAGAGATCGTGTGGGTTCATATACGGAGATGCGGTCACAAAGGTAGGCGGGTCCCAAACTGTTTAGGGCTTTGTAGGTAAGCACCTGCACCTTGAATTGGGACCGGAAATTGAATGGCAGCCAATGGAGCTCCTTAAACAGGAGGGTTGACCTCTCTCTGTAAGGAGCACCAGTTAACAACCTGGCCGCCGCCTATTGAACCAGTTGGAATTTCCGGGCCGTTTTTATTAAATTATTAATTATTATTAAACTTTATTTGTACCCCGCTAGCATCTCCTGAAGGACTCGATGCGGCTTACAAAGGCCAAGGCCTCAACACACATTATAACAATACAAAACCTAAGGCAAATTAAAAACAATTCAAGCAATATAAACAATAAACAATCAACAATATATTAAGACACAATAGAACTGGGCCGGGCCAGAGTAATGAGTACAAGATTAAAAGTGCTGATGTGACAGGTGGTATATAAGGCTTATAGGGCAAGTGCAGAGTGCGATGTGCAACAATCTTGGTACTAATAAAGTGCTTCTGGGACTTGGTATTGGAGATTTTCTAATCTGGGAAGGCACATCGGAACAGCCAGCTGGGTCTTCAAGTTCTTTCTAAAGACTGCCAATGTAGGGGCCTGTCTCTTTGGGGGGGGGGAGTGTTCCAGAGTCGGGGGGCCACCACAGAAAAGGCCCTGTCTCGTGTCCCCACCAAACGTTTTCAAGGGCAGCCCCACGTAGAGCGCATTACAGTAGTCCAATCTGGAGGTGACTAAGGCATGGACCACCCTGGCCAGATCCACCTTCCCGAGGTACGGTTGCAGTTGGCACACGAGTCTCAATTGTGCAAAGGCCCTCCCGGACGATCATATGTTGCATGTTCCAGAGTAGGCAAACGAGACAATCTCTACAACAGCACTGACAAAGAAACAACAAAAAATATTGTTTACTCACAAGCATAAAGAAATTACATACATTAGAAACCAACACTTTCTGATTACTTTATTTTCCAGATCACCAGACTGGGCCACAGTAACGTGTGGCAGGGGACAGCTAGTAATATATATAATAAAGAATATATATATATATATATATATATATATATATATATATATATATATCATAATATATCATAATATATCATAATATATCATAATATATCATAGCAATAGTAGTAGCAGCAGCAGCAGCTCCCTCAAACAATCTGCATCCTTTTCTGAGTGGACTTCCTGCTCTCCTCTTCCTCCTCCTGCTCCCTGAAATTTCCCGTCGTGCTTTGCACCGCGTTCCTTGCTTGAGCCTCGGGTCCTCCGTCTTCCCGCCATGCCTTACGCTTCCGGTGCCGCTCTGGCCTTCCTTTTCCTCTCCCCACTTCCTGTTTCCGCGCGCGTCCTCCCTCTGCGGCGTAGAGGACACGGGACGGAGCCGGGCCTGGAGGCGGAGGAGGCTGCAGGTCAGGCCGGGCCTGGGGCGGGGGAGCGGGGCTGCAGTCTGGGCCTTTTGGGGAAGGAATCCCTTTGGCCTCAAGCACCTGGGAGGCAGCAGGGCTGGCCTTTCAGGAATCAGGGGTGAAACCGTGGCATCTGAGAAGGGCCCTTCCACACTGCCAGGCTATCCAGGGCAGATATTCCACAGTATTATCTGCTCTGAACTGGATTGTCTCAAGACCCTTCCATCCAGTTCTATATCCCAGAATATCAAAGCAGAAAATCCCACATTACCAGAGTGTGGACTCAGATCACCCAGTTCAAAACAGATATTGTGGGATTTCCTGCCTTATTATTCTGGGATATAGGGCTGTGTGGAAGGACCTGAGTCAACACTGCCAGATCATCCAATTAAAAGCGGGTTTTATGTCGTGTCAGGAGTGACCTGAGAAACTGCAAGTCGCTTCTGGTGTGAGAGAATTGGCCGTCTGCAAGGACGTTGCCCACGGGACGCCCAGATGATTTTGATGTTTTATCATCCTTGTGGGAGGCTTCTCTCATATCCAGACATGAGCTGGTGCTGACAGAGGAAGCTCATCTGCCTCTCCCCGGATTCGAACCTGCAACCTGTCAGCCCCCACCAGGGGCTCCTGGGTTTTTTTTATGGCAGTGTGGAAGGGGCCAAAGTCTTTTGGACTCCAGCTCCCATCCTCACTGGAGAGCCTCACCATTTTACCTTAAGTAGGGTTGGACTGTATAAACAGAACAGCACACTCACACACATATATGCAATATGATCCTGTGCATATATTTTGGCAAATGGTAGATTTGTGCGAAGCCCAAAGGAGTGGATCAACGACAAATCGATAGGATAGGATATATGTGCAAACACTAAAACATATATGTATATACACATATACTGTATAAAGGTATACAATAGACATAACACACAAACATACAGCATACAGATGTATCATATACAAATATACACACAAATTACAGTATACAGATATACAATTTACAAATATAAACCCATACAACTATATTAGTGTACTAGTGGACTGTATAAGTAGAACAGCACACACACATAATAATATTATAATAATAATATTTATTTATTTGATCAGTCATATGACCTAATAAATAATATGCAGATATGCAGATGACACCACTCTGATGGCCGAAAGCGAGGAGGAGCCGAGGAGCCTTCTAATCAAGGTGAAAGAAGAAAGCGCAAAAGCTGGGTTGCAGCTAAACATTAAAAAAAACCAAGATTATGGCAACAAGAATGATTGACAAGTGGAAAATAGAGGGAGAAAATGTGGAGGCCGTGACAGACTTTATATTTCTAGGTGCAAAGATTACTGCAGATGCAGACTGTGGCCAGGATAGAATTAAAGAGTTGGAAGAGACCTCATGGGCCATCCAGTCCAACCCCTTGCCAAGAAACAGGAATATTGCATTCAAATCACCCCTGACAGATGGCCATCCAGCCTCTGTTTAAAAGCTTCCAAAGAAGGAGCCTCCACCACACTTACGTCTTGGGAGGAGAGCAATGTTCAATCTCGATAAAATAGTAAAGAGTAGAGACATCACACTGGCAACAAAGATCCGCCTAGTCAAAGCCATGGTATTCCCTGTAGTAACCTACGGATGTGAGAGCTGGACCTTAGGGAAGGATGAGCGAAGGAAGATCGATGCTTTTGAGCTGTGGTGTTGGAGGAAAGTTCTGAGTGTGCCTTGGACTGCGAGAAGATCCAACCAGTCCATCCTCCAGGAAATAAAGCCCGACTGCTCATTGGAGGGGCTGACCAAGGGCAAGATGGATGGATGGCATCCTTGAAGTGACTGGACTGACCTTGAAGGAGCTGGGGGTGGTGACGGCCGACAGGGAGCTCTGGCGTGGGCTGGTCCATGAGGTCATGAAGAGTCGGAGATGACTGAACGAATGAACAACACATGACCATTTCAAAATAGAACACGAGTAAAAAACAAGGCAACAAGGTGAAGACAGCAGCTGACCTATTTATAGTCAGAATCTTATTTTCCTAGTTCTTCTTTCAGGAAATCTGCTCTTTTCTTAATAGCTTTCAGAATAAAAAGGCTTACTCTGATTATGCTGGATCTTTCCTGCCCTTGCAAGAGGGATGTCAGAATATCATTTGGAACAAAATAATTGCTACAAATATCTAGGCATTATGTTCTCTTCATCTGGTGCTTGGGCTAACCACATTACTCATAGTATACAAAGAACAACGAAAGCAGCAGGTTCCATTTATAAGCCGTACCATCATAGATACCCAGGCACAATCAGACCTGCCCTGGAAGTCTTTAAAACGAAAATAATGCCAGCACTTATATTTGGGGCTGAAATTTGGGGACACATCAATTTGGCTAAGATTGAAGCCTTCCAAGTGAAGCAGCTTTGCACCCTCCTGGGCCTTTCCAGAACAACGCTGATGGCGGCAGTAAGGGCTGAGCTAGGAATACTCCCAGTAAAAGCTCAAATTTTAATGAGACAGTTTAATTACTGGTCAATAGTAAACACACACACACATATATGCAATATGATCCTGTGCATATATTTTGGCAAATGGTTGATTTGCGTGAAGCCCAAAGGAGTGGATCAACAACAAATCGATAGGATATATGTGCAAACACTAAAACATATATGTATATACATATATACTGTATACAGGTATACAATAGACATAACACACAAACATACAGCATACAGATGTATCATATACAAATATACACACAAATTACAGTATACAGATATACAATTTACAAATATAAACCCACACAACTATTTAGTATACAAATATATAGTACATAAGTCCACAGAATATAAATATATATACACACACAACTATACTAGTGTACAGTACACATACTCACAAATATATAGTACACAACTAGCCGTCCCCTGCCACGTGTTGCTGTGGCCCACTCTGGTGGTTATGGGGGTTCTGTGTGGGAGGTTTGGCTCTGTGATTATAGGTGAACTACAAATCCCAGCAACTACAACTCCCAAATGTCAAGATTCTATTTTCCTCAAACTCCACCAGTGTTCACATTTGGGCATATTGAGTATTCGTGTAGAGTTTGGTCCAGATCCATCTTTGTTTGCGTCCACAGTGCTCTCTGGATGTAGGTGAACTACAGCTCCAAAACCAAAGGACACTGCCCACCAAGCCCTTGCAATATTTTCTGTTGGTCATGAGAAAGCTGTGTGCCAAGTTTGGTTGAATTCCATCGTTGGTGGGGTTCAGAATGTTCTTTGATTGTAGGTGAACTATAAAGCCAAGTAACTACAACTCCCAAATGACAAAATCAATCTTTTTTGAGTGAAGGACATACATTGGGCTGTTAGGTGTGTTTTGTCCAAATTTGGTGTCAATTTGTCCAATGGTTTTTTAGTTCTGTTAATCCCACAAACAAACATTACATTTTTATTTATATATAGATATATAACTATATACACACAGTATATACCAGGGGTCCTCAAACTAAGGCCCGAGGGCTGGATATGGCCCTCCAAGGTCATTTACCCAGCCCTCGCTCAGGGTCAACCTAAGTTTGAAATTACTTGAAAGCACCAAACAACAACAACCCTATCTCATCAGCCAAAAGCAGGCCCACACTTCCCATTGAAATACTAAGTCTATATTTGTTAAAATTTTCATTCATTTTAATTATTGTATTGTTTTTAAGTGGGGGTTTTTTTGCACTACAAATAAGATATGTGCAGTGTGCATAGGAATTCATTCATGTTTTTTTTCTAAATTATATTCCAGCCCTCCAGCAGTTTGAGGGACTGTGACCTGGCCCTTTGTTTAAAAGGTTTGAGGACCCCTGGTATATACACACATAACTATACTAGTGTACAGTACACATACCCACAGATATATATAGTACACCATATATAACTATACACACAGTATATACACACACACAACTATACTAGTGTACAGTACACATACCCACAAATATATAGTACACAATATATAACTACACACGCAGAGTATATACACACAAATACATAGTATACAATATACAAATATAGACACACACAAATACACAAGTATATACACACACAAATAAATAGTTTACAGGTATACAGTGTGTTGTCACACAGATACATGGTATACAATATACAAATATAGACACAAGTATACAATATACATATGCACAAATATATAACATACAAATATACAATATACAAATATATAGCATACAAATATACTGTACATAAATATAGGCACACACAAATATACAAGTATACAGTATTTGCCTTAAATATCCTATCATGGGGTTTGCCTGTCCGAATTTGTACAGATGGCATTTGCCAGAACTGGTGTCTTATACATATACTTTTATTGATATGTATATGTTTATGTGGCATCAAATTGTTGCCTTTGTAAGGCCGCTCTGAGCCCCCTTCGGGTTGATAAGGACAGGGTACAAATGTAGTAAATAAATAAGGCTGAAAAGGTGTAACAGGCCCAAGATGAGTTTCCATGACGGATTGGCAATTTGAAACCTGGCCTCCCAGAGTCCTAACCTGATGCTTGCTCAGTTGCGCCATACTGCCTTCTCAGAGACATATCTACAATTGGTCAGCAAAGCACACAAAGACATTTGTTGGTACGTTCTCCATTATCTAATAGTCATATTTCAGTATTGATTCTGCAGAGAGACTCTAGCCCTCTTCTCCATCTTGAATTTCTTTCCATTTTATGTTTTCTGTCTTCAGACATTTCTGCTTTGATGTTTTGCTTATGATTGATAAAGAGTCCTTTCTGTGATATATGTATTCTAGTCTTTCTTACGACTTTTAAAGCCCATGCCTGCATCTTTTCCAAATGTTATTAGGCAGCTTTCTCTTTCAGGTTGGAGCTCTATATCTGTAGCATTGTAATTTACGGAAAGCAACAATTGGTACTTGGAAATGTGCATTTGCTAGATATGTGATTGCTTCTGATTCATAACACCACATTTTTTTCTGTTATCATTTTCAGGATGTTGGCTTCAAGGGCATTTAGCCTTCTTGGCAAAAGGGCAATTTCCACTTCAGTTTGCCTCAGGGCACATGGGCATGGTAGGTTCACTCTTTATTCATTGAGTGTTGTAAAGCTTTCTTTTTCATCTCTGCAGCACATTTCCGCTTACAGGGTGTTTTACAACCATAACAGCTCTCTTAAATATATTACAGAGGTAGATAATGACTTCTCCATGTTTATTCAAAGAACTTGAATTGTGGCTTGAACCACCCTCAAGTCCTGCTTCAGTTGTCTATTCTAGGAATGGGAGCCATCCATATTTATTGGACTGCAAATCTCAGCAGCCCTAGCCAGTGGAGAAGAATGCTGGGAATTGCACTCCAACATTCGCTGGAATACTGGAATTTCCCTGCTGTTGCTCCTCTGTTTGGAGGAATGGTTTATATTCTGAAGACAAATATATACGTGCACAAATACACAGGGTAAAAATATACAATATACATATACACACATATATATACACACATCGGTGGTTCCCAAGCTTTGGGCCTCCAGGTATTTGGGCCTCCAGGTATTTTGGTGAAGTCCAAAACACTTGGAGGCCCAAATGTTGGGAACCACTGATTTATACACACACACAGTTTTCAAGTATACAGTATACATATGCACAAGTATATAGTATAGAAATATACTAATATATACACACAAATATAGTTTGCTAAGTATGTTGTATACATACACATAAATATATAGTAAGTGTGCAAAAATATAATATACAATATATATATACATATACAGTTTACAAGTATGCAATATACATATGCATAAGTATATAGTATACAAATATATAATATACAATAATACACACACACGTACAGTTTACAAGTACACAATATACATAAGTATATATTATACAAATATACAATATATCTGGTAAGCCGCTCTGAGTCCCCTTCGGGGTGAGAAGGGCGACATATAAATGTAAATAAACAAACAAATATACAAATATATATATATACACACACACAAGTATGGTGTACCAAGTATTCTGTATACATACACACCAATATATAGTAAGTGTTCAAAACTACAATGTACAAATATATACATTGTATATATATAAATATACAGTTTACAAAGATACAATATACAAATATTTATATATACAAACATACAGTTTACAAGTATACAGTATACATATGCATAAGTATACAGTATACAAATATACAATATACATATGCAACTATACAGCAGACTCTCAATCCTGGTCTGTTCTATCATTCTTTCTAAGTGTAACTGATAAATCTTTCCGTATCCTGCTGTTGTTCCTCTGTTTGAAGGAATGGTTTATATTCTGAAGACTGCTTCCTTTTGGCAGAACAGCGCCTGCATTTGTTGGGAGTATTTCATTGAAAAAGCATCCAGGAAGAAATATTTATATTCGTACCTTTGCTTCTGTATTGTCTGTATTTTGTTTATGAAGGACTTTCCCAAGATAACTGCTATTGTTGTATTAACCTGCTACTTTTGCGTTTTCTTGGTCAAAACAGGCGTTGTGAAAACGGAGGACTTCAGCTTGCCCTCGTATGTCGACCGCCGGGATATCCCTTTGCCAGACGTTGCGTATACAAAAACTCTCTCTTCTGGGCAGAAAGCCCTGAAAGAGAAAGAGAAGGCGTCATGGAGTGCTCTTTCACTGGAGGATAAAGTTGAACGTAAGCACTTTGGAGAATGTAGGCCCAAAAACTGTCCCCTTTGTGCTGTAAGCATAATTGAGTTTTGAGTAACACAGTCAGCCGGGGAAAGAGCATTTCCTTCCTCTGTTACATATTTCTTCTTGTTCTTTTCAGTGTACCACATCAAATTCCATGAAAGCTTTGCTGAGATGAACAGGCCTTCCTCTGAATGGAAGACAGTTGTTGGCACCATACTCTTCTTCATTGGCTTCACTGGCTTTATTGTCATTTGGCAAAGGCTATATGGTGAGTCAAGGGTGACACTTGGTGCCATGTTTGTCTGTTATGGAAACACTAGAAAAATCCCTCCAATAAAAAATGCCTGTTATCTTCCAGATCTGGCACACTGGTCCTGAGCAGATGCACTAGTTAGCATCCCAAGATATTGGCTGGGTTTTAGCTTTATTTACTTACTAGCTGTCCCCTGCCACGCATTGCTGTGGCCCACATGGGGGTTCTTTGTGGGAGGTTTGGCTCAATTCTATCATTGGTGGGGTTCAGAATGCTCTGTGATTGTAGGTGAACTATAAATCCCAGCAACTACAACTCCCAAATGTCAAGATTCTATTTTCCCCAAACTCCACCAGTGTTCAAATTTGAGCATATTGAGTATTTGTGTAGAGTTTGGTCCAGATCCATCATTGTTTGAGTCCACAGTGATCTCTGGATGTAGGTAAACTACAACTCCAAAACTAAAGGACACTGCCCACCAAACCCTTCCAGTATTTTCTGTTGGTCATGGGAGAACTGTGTACTAAGTTTGGTTCAGTTCCATCGTTGGTGGGGTTCAGAATGCTCTTTGATTGTAGGTCATAGAATCAAAGAATTGGAAGAGACCTCATGGGCTATCCAGTCCAACCCCCTGCCAAGAAGCAGGAATATTGCATTCAAATCACCCCTGACAGCTGGCCATCCAGCTGTGAACTATAAATCCCAGCAACTACAACTCCCAAATGACAAAATCATTTATTTCTTGAGTGAAGGACATACATTGGGTTGTTAGGTGTCTTGTGTCCAAATTTGGTGTCAATTCATCCAGTGGTTTTTGAGTTCTGTTAATCCCACAAACAAACATTACATTTTTATTTATATAGGTTTCAAAGCATTTCACATAATACAGTTGTCTTGTCACATCATTTATTCCCCCCCCCCCCCTCAACGTTCAAATATTCAGTTCTGGGTTGCTGTGAGTTTTCTGGGCTGTCCGGCCATGTTCCTAAAGCATTCTCTCCTGATGTTTCTCCCACATCAATGGCAGGCAACCTCAGAGGTTGTGAGGTCTGTTGGGAACTAGGCAAGTGGGGTTTATATATCTGTGGAATAATGTCCAGGGTGGGAGAAAGAACTCTTGGCTGTTGGAGGCAAGTGTGAATGTTCCAATTGATCACCTTGATTAGGATTGAAAAAACTTTCACCTTCAAGGCCTGACTGATTTCTGCCTGGGGGAATCCTTTGTTGGGACAGATTGCAACATTCACATTTGACTCTAACAGAGACTCCACCCTGGACCTCCTTTGCTTAGTTTCCAACAGACCTCACATCCTCTGAGAATACCTGCTATAGATGTGGGTGGAATGTCAGGAGAGAATGCTTCTGGAGCATGGCCATACAGCCCAGAAAACTCACACCAACTTAGTGATTCGGGCCATTAAAGCCTTCAACAACACAAGGTGATCCTTATTTGGGATAATTTTTCATGTGACCCTACTAAGCCTACAGTTGTGCAGCCCTAAGAACACGTGTCTTCACAGGTTTCTCATGAGAAAAGAGGCAATGTTTGGATGTAGAGAATTAAGAACAAGGCCCCCAGCTAATAAAGTAGCCCTGATTCCAGCAATTGCTTCAGGCACCAGTAACTGGAATCTGGCATTGCAGTGGTTAAGAGGCCCTTCTCTTAATTCGGTGAGGGCCTCTTGCTTCTGTCATCATGTGTATACTGTGTATACTGTATATCCATCATGTGTATACTGTATATCGTAAATTAGCATCATTGTCCATTTGCAGTTTTTGGGCCCATCCCTCACACCTTCTCAGACGAGTGGAAAGCCATGCAGACCCAAAGAATGCTGGACATGAGGGTGAACCCGATCCAAGGCTTCTCCGCCAAGTGGGACTACGAGAAGAAGGAATGGAAAAAGTAAAAGCACTCCGGGAATCGCCACTTTGGCCCCAAGCTTGAAATCTCCAACATGATTCCGTCACCTCCATGCGACTGCACTTCTTCTGGTGTCTGGGGAATTAACTCCTCCTTGAGAGAGAAATCTTAATAAATGTCTGGTTTACTTGAAAAAAAAAGCTTCTCCTTGTCTTAGAATGCTTTCGGTGTGTAGCCTACAGCAGCTTGTTGAGCTCGTGATGGTTCAAGGCTGAGCGCTGTGTTTTGTGCGTAGTTCCAGATACTTAAAATGGGCCCAGAGAAGAGTTAAATCCCCTGGCTGTTTTTCAAATGCAAAACATACACAGCGAGATTAAAAATTGCAGTTTAAAAAAAGACGCATGTTGTGACTCTTTATTTGGTATCGTGATCTGTATAGAATCTAAATAGTAAAATAAATGCAGAGATCCTCTTGGAGTTATGCAGCATGAATTTCCACATAATGTGCAGGCATTACCAAAAAGTATATTAAGTGAGGAACTGCAAAAGTCTCACATGTGCTAATGCAATTTTCATTAGTCCTTTTTCTCAGAATTGCTGTGTGAGAGTGACAGAAACAGTATTGGTGATAAATGAACTTCAGGTTAAATGCAAGCAAAGAATATAGGAATAAAATACTGTATATACTTGAGTATAAGCCGAGTTTTTTAGCCTTTTTTTAGGCTGAAAAAACCCCCTTTGGCTTATACTCGAGTTACGGTTATTTATTATTTTACACTATTGTTATTATTACGCTATTGTGAGATAAAAGAGAAACAAATTATTTGTGGAGGAGGGCTCATTATAGTGGGAGTTGTGGAATCAAGCTTTCCCACGAAGGGGGGGGGGGGAATGTATACTCCAATGACAGAACATTGCAAATGAGCGATAATGTGGGATTGAAAGGCGCAATGGAAGAGCCTTTTTAAATGGAAGGTTCTTTTTAAAAGTTTCTAGGGTAGAGCAAGTACAAATGGTGTCCCTAAATGGGCTCCTGTACTTGCTTCCTTATGAGTAAATAGGCATCATTCACTTCTGGGGAAGATCAACTATTTTGCCTGATAACACTTGTAGTAAGAAAAGAATTTAGCCTTGTGACTGACAGTGTGCCCTGGGTTGCTGTGAGTTTTCCAGGCTGTATGGTCATGTTCCAGAAGCATTGCCATACAGCCTGGAAAACGCAAAGCAACCCAGTGATTCCAGCCATGAAAGCCTTCGACAACACAATAATAATAATAATAATACTTTATTTGTACCCCACTACCATCTCCCCATGGGACTCGGTGCGGCTTACATGAGGCCGAGCCCAAACACAACAATACAAACAATAACAACACAGTACAAGCAATTAAAAACAACATAGACAATAAAATATACAACATTATCAAAAAGACAACACACAATTAAAAACAGAGGGAAGGCCAAATGTAAAATTAAAATTGGAGATGATGCTGGGACATAAGCAAGAAGGTGATAGTAGTGTTTGTGGAAGGGCACATGAGCAGACCTAAAGAAATGTAAAGTGCTTTGGAGGACAAAGTGCTATGCGATCATTATTCCGGGAAGGCACACTGGAACAGCCACGTCTTCAAGCTCCTCCTGAAGACTGCCAGACTTGGGGCCTGCTTGATGTCTTTAGGGAGTGAGTTCCAGAGTTGAGGGGCCACCACCGAAAAGGCCCTCTCTCTCGTCCCCACCAATCGCGCCTGCGAGGCTGGTGGGATCGAGAGCAGGGCCTCTCCGGATGATTGGAGGGATCGCGTGGGTTCGTAATGGAGATGCGATCACACAGGTAGGCGGGTCCCAAACCGTTCAGGGCTTTGTAGGCAAGAACCTGCACCTTGAATTGGATCCGGTAGATGAATGGCAGCCAGTGGAGCTCCTTGAACAGGAGGGATGACCTCTCTCTCTAAGGAGCCCCAGTTAACAACCTGGCTGCCGCCCGTTGGATCATCTGAAATTTCCGGGCCGTTTTCAAGGGCAGCTCCATGTAGAGTGCATTGCAGTAGCCCAGTCTAGAGGTGACTATGGCGTGGACCACCCTGGTCAGATTCGCCTTCCCGAAGTACGGTCGCAGTTGGCGCACGAATCTTAATTGTGCAAAGGCCCTCCCGGCCACCACCGACGCCTGAGCCTCAAACCTAAGTGAAGAATCCAGGAGGACCCCCAAACTGCGGACCTGTGACTTCAGGGGGAGTGCAACCCCGTCCAGCACAGGTTGCCACCCTATACCCCGGTCTGGTTTACGATCAACCAGGAGGACCTTTGTCTTGTCGGGATTAATCTTCAGCTTCTTCGTCCTCATCCAGACAGCGACAACATGCCCTGGGCTTTTAAGAGTGCGATCCACTTTATGCATAACAGTGAAATATCCCCAGGCCTTCATTATGTAAGCTGTCCGGTTTGTGTAACAGACATTACAATCAATCAGTTGCAATATCACCATGGTCCATCTCCTTAAAGAAGGTGATCTTCCTCAAGACTCAGCCCTGAAACCCCAGGGCCTGGCAACCTTAATTTATTGGTCATACAGAGCTCTATTTTTGGAAAACAGCCTCATGCGTTTCTCCGCTATTGTTCATTCCCTAGTACTCTATCTCCCTTATATCTGATTAGCATCCTAGTTATTCATTTGGGCTAGAAGAGATTGAACTCTCAATGCTAGCACTATGCCTGGAGCGATGTGCCTAAAAATATCTCTCGCGTCGCATGGGCTGTTCATTTGCCAGTGTGCTCTTCAGATCTCGGTGCAGCAAGAGAAAAAGATGATCCAATCATAGAATCATAAAATCCTAGAGTTGGAAGAGACCTGGTAGACCATCCAGTCCAGCCTCATTCTGCCAAGAAGCAGGAAAATCACATTCAAAGCTTTCCCGACAGATGGCCATCCAGTCTGCTTCAAAGCCTCCAAAGAAGGAGCTTCCACCACACTCAAGGGCAGAGAGTTCCACTGCTGAACAGCTCTCTTGCACAATCAGGAAGTTCTTCCTCAGGTTCAGGTGGAATGTCCTTCCTTTCCTGTAGTTTGAAGCTATTGTTCCATGTCCTAGTTTCCGGGACAGAACAGAGGAACCCTGCTCCCTCCTACCTATGACTTCTCTGGGCTCACCTCTTCATCCCTGGTCCTCATCATGTCTCCTCTCAGCCTTCTCTTCTGAAGGCTAAACATGCTCAGCTCTTTAAGCCACTCTTCATAGGGTTTGTTCTCCACACTCTTGATCATATGAGTCACCCTCCTCTGGACACAGTCCAGCTTGTCAACATCTCCCTTCAATTGCGGTGCCCAGTATTGGACACAATATGATTCCAGGTAAAGTGATCCGGCCAAGGCAGAATAAAAAAGAGGGGTAGCATGACTTCCCTGGATCTAGGCATTAGGCTCCTATTGATGCAGGCCAAAATCCCATTGGCTTTTTTAGCCACCACATGATATTCCTGGCTCATGTTCACTTTCCTCTTCATGAGGACTCCAAGATATTTTTCATACGTCCTGCTCTCGAGCCAGGCCTCATCCCCATTGTCTCTTTGCATTTCCTTTTTTCCGCCTAAGTGGAGTCTCTTGCATTTGTCCCTCTTGAACTTCCATTGTGTTAATTTTGGCCAATCACCTCTCTAATCTGAGATGATCATTTTGATTTCTGCTCCTGTCTTCTGGAGTATTGGCTCTCCCTCCCAATTTGGTCTCTTCTGCAGACCTCATGATCCTGCCTTCTGACCCTTCCTCTAAGTCATTAATCAAGATCTTGAACAGGACCGGGCCCAGGAGGGAACCCTGCTGATGGCACTCCACTCGCCACTTCTTTCCAGGATGAAGAGGAGGAAGTACAGGGGAGAATCACCCTCTGGGTTCATTCACTTAACCAATTACAGATCCACCTAACCGTTGTTTTGCCTAGCCCATATTGGACTAGTTTCCTTGGCAGAAGGTCATGGAGGACCATTGGAAGGTGGGGTAGAAAAACCCATATTGTTCCAAAATAGAGACCCTAAGCTTTCTTTATCCCTATAGAAACCAGCATTGAAGATGCAAACTGGGACAGAGTGAATGAATGAGCTTTCCAGGCAGGAGGAAACAGAACCACACTGGGAAGCAAAAAGTCTTTTGTTGGATCATTTAGAAGCTGGCCCCAATTCAAGGCTAGCTTTCTTGCTGCTAACTTCAACAAAGAAGCCCAGACTCAAACTGGATTAAAAGTGGGCTGTAAAGCAAGCGTTTCCTGACTTTCTCCCAGTGGCTGGCTCTTCCCTTCCTTCCCGAATTAGGCTTTTCAAAAGTCACATCTCTGCATTGCATCAGTGCATTGGACACTTCACTTGGCAATAACAGCTGCAGCACCGTGACTCATGGAGCTGAGATGGGTGGAAAAAGCCAGGTTGGGAGGGGGAAGGAGGAAGGAAGGGATGGGATGCCTTACATAGGAACCGGTAACCCATGATCACATGTCGCCACAGATCTGGAAGGGATCCCCCAGTCTCCCCATTCACATCTCTCTGCGTCCTGCTGCGACCTTGCATCTTAATGATTGCTTGCTGTGTCTCTTAGGCTCCGGAGATTCAGCAGAACTGGTAAGTAGGCTGCAATTTTGCCTCTAGATCAGTGTCCATGCCACTGATATAGATAAATTGTAGATTGATCTAGATCTGTGGCATGATGATAGATGATACATTCAGAAGCCAATACGCCACCAGAGGAAAATGAGTTTCAGCCACAAGACTTCTTCCTTCCTTCCTTCGTTCCCTCCCTCCCTCCCTCCATCCTTTCTTCTCTCCTTCTTTCCTTCCTTCTTTCTTTCTCTCCTTTCTTCCTTCCCTCTCTTCCTTCTCTCTCTCCTTCTTCTCTCCCTCTCTCCTTCCTTCCTTCCTTCCTTCCTTCCTTCCTTCCTTCCTTCCTTCCTTCCTCCTTCCTCCTTCCTCCTTCCCTCCCTCCTTTCCTCTCTCCTTTCCTCTCTCCTTCCTTCCACTCCTTTCCTTCCTTCCTTCTCTCCTTCTTCTCCTTCCTTCTTTCCTCTTTCTTCTCTCCTTCTTCTCTCCTTCCTTCCTTCCTTCCTTTTCTCTCACCTTCTTTCCTTCCCTCTCCTTCCTTCCTTCCTTCCTTCCTTCCTTCCTTCCTTCCTTCCTTCCTTCCTTCCCTCTCTCCCTTCCTCCTTCCTTCCTTCCTTCCTTCCTTCCTTCCTTCCTTCCTTCCTTCCTTCCATCCTTCCTTCTTTCCTTCTTTCCTTTCTTCCTTCCTTCTCTCCTTCCTTCTCTTCCTTCCTTCCTTTTCTCTCACCTTCTTTCCTTCCCTCTCCTTCCTTCCTCTTCTTCCTTCCTCCTTCCTTCCTTCCTTCTCTTCCTCCCTCCCTCCCTCCCCTCCTCCCTCCCTCCCCTCCTTCCTTCCTTTTCCTTCCCTCCCTCCCTCCCTCCCCCCCCTCTCTCCTTCCCTCCCTCCCTCCCTTCCTTTTCTTTCCCTTCTTTCCTTCCCTCTCTCCTTCCTTCCTTCCCTCCCTCCCTCCCTCCCTCCCTCCTTCCCTTCCTCTATTATATTGCAGTTCCCTGATGAACAAGGAGGGAAAACCAGTGCGAACGGCTGTGGTTTTGCACATGTCCAAGTGTGTCTGAACAGGACTTCTGAGAACTATAAAACTGCCATGGGGACTGGGATGAGTAAGGTAAAATGATCCTTGCATGCCACTAAAACTACCATAAAGGAAGGAGGGAATATTTTATAACTGTCTTTTATGTGAGACTCACAGTTTTGCATTTTCGTTTGAAGAAGACAGCCTTCGTTAAACAGGTGGCAAAGAGGAGCAAATGTTAGGACACAGGTAAAGAGAGAAGAAGCTATGAGCCCAAATTTCCCCTCTCCCATAAACCAACCTGATGGCACTGGATTATAAACCATATTCTTAGTTTCAGTTTGCCAGTGTATGGGAATAATGTCCAGGGATAATATAGGGCTCGGCATCTTATATTTATATATTAGAATTTCCCTTCTGTTTAGCATAAAGTTATTGCATTAGTTCAGTTTACTTTATCTGGCAGCTGCCTAAGTGGCACAAGAAGGATCAATTACGTTCAGTGTCCCAAAATAGCTGGAAAGTCACTGCTCTTAAAATTAGATCCCTGACCCACATAAAGACATTCTTCCTGTTCCTGTTCTTATTGTTATTGTTGCTGCTGCTGTTGTTATTGATAAATAACTAGAGTGAAAGGTGGGCATCTGATGTTGAAATGTCCTCTACAACAGTGGTACTCAGCCTTCCTTATGCCGCAACCCCTTAATACAGTCCCCCATGTTGTGGTGATCCACAACCATAACATTATTTTCGTTGTTTCTTCATAAATGTATTTTCATTCACTGGACCAATTTGGCACAAATACCTGATACGCCCAAATTTGAATACTGGTGGGGTTGGGGTAAGATTGATTTTGTCATTTGGGAGTTGTAGTTGCTGGGATTTATAGTTCACCTGCAATCAAAAAACACCCTGAACTCCACCAACTATGTAATTGAACCAAACTTGGCACACAGAACTCCCATGACCAACGGAAAATACTGGAAGGGTTTGGTGGACAATGTCCTTGAGTTTTGGAATTGTAGTTCACCTTCAACCAGAGAGCACTGTGGACTCAAACAATGATGGATCTGGACCAAACTTGGCACAAATACTCAAGATGCCCAAATGTGAATTTGGTGGAATTTGGGGAAAACAGGCCTTGACATTTGGAGTCATAGTTGCTGGGATTTATAGTTCACCTGCAATCACAGCAGAGGAGGGCTTTTGGTGGGAAGATTCACCATCTATTTCCAAAAAGGAAGAGAAGGACAGGCAGAGATATCTTCAGCCTTCTCTGCCAAGGGGGTTCCTAAGACCTTCAGAAATATGTGTCTTCTGATGGTCTTTGGTGAGCATCTGAACCTCCTCACAACCCCCCCCCCCCCCGGGGTACTGACCATCAGGTTAAGAAACACTGAAATAAAAGACTATTCATCCATTATTTCTACCTGAGCCTTCACGTCTTAGGTATCTTTTGATTCAGGAAGAGGAAAACCTCACTGCTTAAACAGAAGGTCCCCCTTTAATTATTCAGCACCGTATGAGGTGAATGCTTTCAATACTTGAAAAGCAAAGGAAAGGAAGGGAATCTGTTTTGTTTCAGAGCCTTAATTCAGGCCCATGCAAAGTTTTGGCAAGCATTTAAAAATAGCACCCTCGTGCATGCCACGGGTGTATCTTTGCAGCCAAGTCCAGGGGTTGTTTGTTGGATCCGGCTGCTATAGAAACACTAAAAAGAGCCTAGGTATCTCAACCCCAGGGACCTAAGCTTCTAGTTTAAAGTCAAGCATTGTCTGTTTGGAAGGCCATAGCAGAAAAGTCTTGTGTTTAGATTTCTTGTTGTGCTGCATGAACCAGGAGAGCTAGATTTGTAAGCCATGACTTCTCTGTTTCCTGCAATATACATCCATGAACCTAATTATTTTTCCATGACTTTTCTTAGGTTGTTGGGGGGCTGTACCTTGGAAACATCAGAGGTGAGCATTTTCCAACTTCTCCTAGAAGATATTGAGTATGTGTACCCAGACAGTCTTTAAGGATGAGTTCTAAATGTGTGTCCTTTGTTTAATCTCTGTTTTGTGTATTTCAATATGTATTTAATAGAGATACGTTTTGGTGTGTAGCTTTTATAGAGGTATGTTTTAATAGGTGCACCTGTGGTGTTTATGCAGTGTTTATGTTTTGGAAAACTGATACCATAATCTTTTGGGAAATGGAAAACTCCATAACCTTTTGAAAAATTGTGTTCATTATCATTTGGGAAAACTGGGAATCTTCCTGAGAAGAGTTAAAAATTCACTTGAGTCAACCTTCTCCTTAGTGGTAAATATCCACTAGTATTCACGCTAGGTAATTTAGGTTTCACAGCTGTTAGACTGATATACCTAGATAGCTCTTTGAACTGTTAGCGACAAAGATATGCCAATGCACAAAAAGACATACATAGTAGAGTTTCAGAAGTGTTCTTTCAGTTGCCCAAAAACTTCTGTTTTAAAACTTTTGCTTTAAATCATGCTCTCAAGAGACCAAAAATAAAATAGACTTCTTTAAAAGTAACATAGTTGGTTTACTCACAAACTTCATAACACAAGGCATCTATCTTGCAATCAACAGTCCAAAGTCCAAGTCATCTCTCAAGTCTGAGAGTCTAATAAATTCTGTAAAGCATACTGTTTCTACTGGCGTCTAAACTGTACTGTTTCTAAAATGGAATCTGAGTCCTGAACAGTCTCAGATCTGATCACATGGTCTGTAGCCCCTCCCACAACATAGAGTTAAGGAAAACTGCTTACCAATACACACATATATAAGGTAACACAGGGCATCTTTGTTAGAACCAACAATCCAAAGTCTAAGGGCCCTTCCACTCAGCCCTATATCCCAGAATATCAAGGCAGAAAATCCCACAATATCTGCTTTGAACTGGGTTATCTGAGTCCACACTCAGATAATGTGGGATTTTCTGCCTTGATATTCCGGGATATAGAACTGTGCTGAAGGGCCCTCAAACATCTTTCTCTTCTGAGAGTCTAATAGAGTCTCCTTCTAAAAATGGAGTCTGAGTCCTGAACAGTCCCAGATCTGTTCACGTGGTCTACAGCCCCTCCCTCATCAAAGAGTTAAGGAAAACCACATACCAACACACACATATACAATACAGTAAACAATCCGAATTATATACAAACAACAGGCTTGAAGAATGTTGCTATTTCCAACATTATGTTTTTTAATTGTTCTGTAACCCGCCTCGAGCCACGAGGATAGGCAGGTAAGAAATGCTATTATTATTATTATTATTATTATTATTATTATTATTATGTAGCCTGAGGCTGCATCTACACTGTAGAATTAATGCAGATTGACTACTTTAACTGCATGGCTCAATGCTATGTGCTGATGGGAGTTGTAGTGTTGGTGAGGCACCATTTGGCAGATGAGGCAAAGGATCTTGGTGTTGGAACTCAGCCTGTGATTGTGTTTCAGGATCAGGGTGCTTTGGATGTGGGGAGTGACGTCAATGACTTTCAAGATGGCAATGGTCAAGATGGCAATGGTTTGGTCAATTATATTGATGCAGGAGATCCCTGTTCAAAGTGTAGTTTCCCATGATAATGCCCCTGGGGGGTGTGTGGGGATGATGTTGGTGTGCTCCCTGAATTGCTACCAGAGAGTTCCCATGATAGGGAACGTGAAAACAGCTTGGCAGCTGGCCCAGCTGCAGAAATTAATGAGCAAATAGATAGATGGGAGGAGATCAGTCAAAACAGAAAAGCCGAATAGTGGCTTCGGTGTTCTGCCAGGCTCTGACAGAAAAAGATAAGAGATTCTCAGCTAAAGCAAAACCAATTTCTGAGCGCTAGGGACATAGCTAACGAGGAGATAAAAGTCTCAAGTACAGGAAATGTAGTCAAATGAAGCATCATTTGGAATCAAGACAAGATCTCGTCCTTTTTTCATGGAAGCTTTGCTTGGAAGATTCATGTTTAAGTGCCTTTTGTTTCATGGTTTTGGTTCTTGGATTCTATGATTTTATATTCATGTCTTGGATTCATGTTCCCTGGTTTCTTGGATTTTATTAGAAAGTTTTGCCTTTGCTTTTATGGACTTTGCTGGGCTATGACTCTGAACTATTTTGTTCCTGCTTATCTTCTTACCTAATTGGATTTACCTATTTCTTTAAAGTGCTTCTTATTTTACTGCTTTTTAATTATCTTCAATAAAAGGATTGTTTTCCCTACTCAACAGTGTGGAGTTTGAACTCAGAGGGCTTTTCCTGTTCTGGAACACTTGGAAACTTACAACTCCCAGGGACTCTATACATAGCAATGAGTATGGCAATTAAAATAGTATCAAACGGTACCAATTCCACAATGTAGAGATGCACCCCTTGAAGGGCAAGAATAAATGTTCTGGTTTTCCATTTTAACTATTTTTTCAATTTGGGTCTTTGGGAACATTTGTCTCCTTCCAGATTCTGAAGACAGAGAGAACCTGGTGAAACATGGCATCACACACATCTTGTCGGTGCATAACAACGCCAAACCTGTGTTAGAAGTAAGTGTAAATGGAGGATTTTGCAATACTAATACATATTTAGAATGAGATATCTTAGAGTCTAAACACTAAATTCATTGATGTTTCACTTACACCTGATGCACATAGCCTAAAGGGCATTGTATACACATGTTTAATTGTGCAATGAACAAGGCTTGTGTACTTTGGGCCACCGGAAAGCAAAATTGTCACTATCCCAGCCATTAATGTGGACAATTTTGGAGTATTTAGGAGTTTAGAATTCTGGACAAACAAGGGATGCTCAATCTGTATTGCCGTTAGATGGCAGCACAGTCTCACAAGTCATTGTGTGGCTAAGAAAACCCCATGGAATTCGTGAGGTCACCCTAAGTCGATAGGCAACTTGAAAGCACAAACACATTTCCTGCTCACTTCAGTGTCTTCCTTGCCTAAAGAAACCCTGATAAATTCATGAGGTTGCCATAAGTCAACAGGCAATTTAAGGACACAAGAACACATGCATTTCATGCAGGAAATGTCATGCAATCAATTCTATTGCCCTCTAATGGTAGTGATATTTCAGTTTATCTATATGGAATATTTATTTTTGTGGGTACAGGAGAACAAACTTGATGGTTGGTGTGCATCTACACACAATAGAATTAATGCAGTTTGATACCACTTAAATTCCCCTAGTTCAATGCTATGGAATCCTGGAAGATGTGGTTTGATATAGAACATTAAGCCTTCTTTTCCAAAGAATGCCAAACTATAAATCTCAGGATTCCATAGTCTTGAGCCATGGCAATTAAAGTGGTACAAAACTACATTTATTCTACAATATAGACACACTCTAGGATGCTGGAGACCAGGGTTTGAATCACCTTTACTCACCCATTAAAACCATTGGGTGAACTTGGTTAAGTTTTGGTCATGTCAGGGGTAACTTGAGAAACTTCAAGTCACTTCTGGTGTGAGAGAATTGGCCGTCTGCAAGGACGTTGCCCAGGAGACGCTCGGATGTTTTTGATGTTTTATCATCCTTGTGGGAGGCTTCTCTCGTGTCCCCACATGAGGAGCTGGAGCAGTAGAGGGAGCTCATCCCTGGATTTGAACCTGCGACCTGTCGGTCTTCAGTCCTGCCAGCACAAGGGTTTAACCCACTGCGCCACCCGGGCTCCAACTTGGTTAAGTCAGCTTCGGAGAAAGTCCATGGCAAACCACTTCTGAACAGACCTTGCCAAGAAAAGCCTTGTGATAGATCCACCTTAGGGTCAGAAACGACTAGAAGGTACACACAACAACAACAACAGCAACAACAACAACAACAACAGATGTGTTGAGCACCTATTGTTTTGTTTCCCAAGAATTTCTTGATAAGAAATTTGGAGTATTGTTAAAGTGAAAAGCCATTTGCCTCTTAGACTCTGTAGGTGCATCTACACTGTGGAATTAATGCGGTTTGACTCCACTTTAACCACTATGTCGCAATGCTATGGAATGCTAAATGTTATAACTGGATGAGCCGTTCCTTGGCAGAGAAGTCTACAGACCTTCAAAAACTAGAATTCCCATGAATCCCTAACATTGCATTCATTCTACAGTGTAGAGCAGGCATGGGCCAACTTGGGCCCTCCCTCCAGGTGTTTTGGACTGCAACTCCCACAATTCCTAACAGCCTACCGGCTGTTAGGAATTGTGGGAGTTGCAGTCCAAAACGCCTGGAGAGAGGGCCCAAGTTGGCCCATGCCTGGTGTAGAGACACTCTTATGTCTCTCAACTTTGCCAGACAGATGGTGAATCCACACACAAAGGTCTTACGACATGATGGACTGAAGGAAGCTGGAGGAAAAGAGGAACCGGAAAGGCATGGCTTCATTGAGCAATATGTCAATGGCAGATTTAGCCAAAGAACTGCAGAGCCAAGCGCTGTTCCCATGCCCCTCCTTCTGGCAAAAGCCCGAGAAAGGGGCTCCGTTCCCAGGGTTGGAACAGGCGCTTTGGGGAGCATTGCTTGCGCCTTGTTCGAATGCCAGACTTGGGGAACAAATCAGGAGGAGAAACTTGGAGACATTAGGAATTCGCCTCCGTCTGGGAGATTTTGCTGGTGCAATGTTTTTGCAAAATTATGATTTGATGCAATTAAACCGCTTCGAGTCGCCTTTTTAGGCTGATATTTGCGGTATACAAAAGAAGTAAATAAATAATAAATAAATAAATAATTCAAAAAAAACAAAAAACAACAAAATTCACATGAGGACAGTGAGGTTGAGAGGGACTGGCCCTATGGAACCGTCTAATCAATTATGACAATGCAATTGTTGGCTGCCACTCTCAAGGCGGATGACTTCTTTATATTAGAAGCACATGATTTTGTGGCCTTGACCTTTCTGCAGCTTCTAAACTTTCCCTTTCCCTCCCAAAATAAAACAAAATAAAAGATGTTCAATTGCTGCTCCTGGAAATCGAATCTCTCATCATGATAGACAGAACAAGGTATGAATCCCCACTCAGCCATGGAAACCCACCTGGGAAGGAAATCCATACTCTTTTAAAACTAGAAGGGGCCTCAAAGGCCATCTAGTCCAGGAATGGGCAAACTTTCTAATTTGAGGGCCACATTGTGGACAGGCTGCCCTTTCTTCCCCTTCCTCTTCTCTTTCGGAGGCAGAAAGTGAAGGAAAGATAGGAAATGTTTGGATCCAAAAAGGGTTGGCCTTCATCAGGATGTGATGGTGGACGGGAGAGAAAGGGTGTATCCATTAAACCCCATTTTGCCTACTCCTGAAATAGAATCCTAGAATTCTAGATCTGGAAGAGACCCCCAAGGGTAATCCAGTCCAACCCTCTGCCATGCAAGAAGGCACAATCAAAGAACTCCCGATAGACAGTCTCTGTGGAAAAGCCTCCAGAGAAGGCGGCAGGCAGAGAAGGAAGGAAGGAAGGAAGGAAGGAAGGAAGGAAGGAAGGAAGGAAGGAAGGAGAAAGAGAGAGGGAAGGA